GGGGAAACAGCAGACATAGAGGAAAAAGACCATGAGAAGTGGTATAATATTTGGAAAATGTTCAACTTGTATTTTTTCCATTAAAATGTCTGTGTATATGCTCTTCTATTTTTTTTTTGTTTTTTTTTTGTTTTTTTTTTGTTGAATTAATGGCCACAATACGGAAGAGGGAGGTTACATTAGTAGATATTTAGCCTATAATTCTTATGAATTATATTCATATTCGTAAAATAAGAATATATGTTAATGAATCTTTCAGATTTCCTTTGCAAACTTCATTGAAATATTGTCTCTTCTTAGAATAGTACACTAATAACTTTGGCATAAGTTTGGCCTAATTTATTGGAGGGTTAACATACGTATTGGCATCCGTTATATTATTGAAAAAGTTTTCACTTATTGAAAAAGTATATTCTTCTATAAAACTTTTCTTATTCATGTTACACAATTAGCTTCATTGTTATAGTGATGAAGGTTTTATCAAGTTTCCTCAACAGTTTGCTACGAGAAAGTGTACTCTGTTCAATAACTCGACACAGTAAAACTTTTAAAAGTTATCAGATCAACCTCCATTATAACTCCAACACCCACAATTATTTGTATGCCACAGTTCAGTAGCCAGTTAATCATATCTAATCACCTGTTTATAAAGGTATATATGTGTATTAGATAACCATACAAAAAATAATAAATTCAAGTCTAAACACCAAAAAAATCTGATATATTTGTTTGTATAACATTTGATGGCGGTTTTTTCTTTATTAGTAAATTTCTTCTTCATTTGTATGTATCAGACATATATTAACCTTCTGCTCAAAAAGTACAAAAATTTAAATTTTATTCCAAATTTATTTTATCTCCTTCAAAATATGCTCCTTCTGAAGCGATACACATATGCCAACGCTTAACCCAATCTTCCATACACTTTTCGTAGGTCCGTGAAGGCATGGCTTTTAGTTCCTTCAGCGAATTCAAGAAAGGGTGTACCAATATAACAAAAAAAAACAGACCTTTTTTTGAAATAGGTCTATTACTTAAAGAGTAGTTAACAAACAATAAAATCCGGATACTTTTTGAGCAGAAGGTATATGCAATTAATAATGATCAAGCAATAAATACAGTATAAATTATTGAATGTAGATGTGTTAAGGTATTGAAAGATAATTTTTTTAAATACAAACATATTCCCATTCTATGTTTACACTATTTGTTGTCATTAGAGGAAGAACTCAATTAAACTACAGTTCATTGGAGACATACAGTGTTAAGCGATTGAAGTGTAACCAATTTCTTCAAAATGCATAAGTACTAAGTAGTATACTTCGGAACCCATGTTAGGGCCATGTTAGACAGCTGTTCAAATGATCGTCCATCACTTTATTTTTTGTTGCTTACAGTAAATTCAGGAAAAAATGAGATATTAAAAGCAACAACAAATGATCCACGATAAATTGATCGCCACCTAATATCGTCCTTAGAAGTCGTGATACATAAATACATGCTTTAACTAATAATGACAATTTTTAAATATTTGTTGTATTCAACGAAGCATAAAATATAGTGTTGAGGAATATAGTTTAAAGATCGTGAAATATAAAGACGCAAATTGCATTTAACAAAAACTCGAAACGATATATGATGCTAATAATCATCAATTTTTTATTATTTGTATTATTCTGCGAAATGAACAGCTAAAGCTAAGATAGTAGATCAAGTTGAATTAAATGCAGAAGTGCCTTTAATGAGTATTGATGAATGAAGTTGCATATTGGAAAAGACAAAAAACAGTTTGCCTCATTAATATTGATTAATCTTCTATTTGAAATAATATGAGTGATGAAGTACTGGTTTAAAAGAATTTTCTTTTGGTAAAAAATATTTTTAAACCTATGGAATTTGTATATATATTTTACATACATAGATTAAAATCTAAGGGAAAGTTCTCTAATCTAGATGGTCTCGTTAATGATGACTAATATTCTATTTTAAACAATCTGAGTGAAGAAAAACTAGCTTAAACTTTCTTTAAATAAAAAATATGTTTAAATTCACTGAATTTTTAAACATATCTATAATGCAAATGTATTTTATTGTATTATAAGTATATTTACTCCATTGTATAGGTAGTTTGTATACTTAATCTGTTATCCTCACAAAACGCTTTTTGCTTAGCAAAAAATTCCATTTAGCACTTAAACTTTAACCCACAGGAAATTAGTTTTCCAACTTTTTTTTATTTAAAAAAAACTTCCGTCATTTCCGACCAAAAGTTTACATGTGTAATTATCACAGTGTCATCGCAATATCTAAATTATTATCGTTAAGAAAAAATATGACATAAAAAACCCACAAATGTTTTGCTAATGTTGTGCAAAACATTTATTACAACCCCCGTACCACTCAGGCTACAGGCTACAGGCTATATGCTACCAAGTGGGTGTGTATGGCGTTAACCCAAAAATTAATTTCTTTAATGTTTTTCGTTGTTTCTGAAATCAGTGTACGTGACTGAAATGCTTTCGCATCACAACGCGGAATGAAGAAGTGAACTACATAAAACGTGGAAACTTTACTTTCATTCATAACTGACCTAACGTCATTTCACGTTTTTACAGCGTGAAAAACTTTTACTCGGTACTACGAGTTTTTGGTGCCTAGTGCTTGATAGGAGGTGCTTGGTGGGAACATCACAAACAATGGCAGTTCTTTTTACTTCAAACCGTTTTATCATGGGGTGCGAGTATCCTTTTAAGCGGGCCCTGTATGTCAGGCTTCTTGTCTCTAAAATGGGTCGATAGATGTTTAAGTATCCAGTTGCGTTTTTAATTAATTAATATAATTATGGTAATTAAATAAAAAGTTAAGTGAAAAATAAAAGATTTTTCTGCGTTTCCACTGTAGGATGGCCTTAATTAATTCTTGTTTTATTAATATTACAAAATGCGAAATGTTCATAGAACAGCCTTTTGCGTATCTTCAGAGTGAAATGTAAAGATGACGCTCCTTAACGTTTAACGTAGGCCTTAGCTAAACATATATAGAGAGAGATGTAAGGTGTGCTATAAGGAAAATGTTGGAAAATATTCTTTAGGAAAACTTTTTCAGTTCTATAATTGGTTTTTTTAGTATAAAATTTATTTAGATTGTTTTTTCTTGTTTGCTAATTAAATTTAATTGAAAATCAAGAAAAACAGATACGTACTTTTAGATTTGTCCAAATATTCATACCCTTCACTACTGTTTACTTACCAAATATTTATTCAGCTATATTTACAAATTTACAAATTTAGGTTTTTGACATTGAATTTAATTAAACAAATTTATAAATATAAACTTGTTTTAATTATAGATTTTTATGGATGCTACACTTTCATCCAATATCGTTATAGAAAAAAAGATAGCAATAGTAGTCCAAAACCTCCCAGTTACCTTTGCCAGGCATTATTCAGTTAATTTCGAATCGACTATATACCTAAAAAAATGACTTTGCAATCTTTGAGCCGATCTTTTTAAATATTCTATATCGAAATCTATATATTCTATATCTATATAGAAATCGTATGCTATATTTAATTATTTTGTGGGCTATATATTTGCTATGTATAGCAAATATACATGTAACCCAGCCGTAACCCAACCAATCTATTACGGACACTTTTCAACGTCTACCGTATAGCTTTCCGTAAAAAGCAAAGAATAAAGTAATGATCATCTTTTTCCACGCTGAGATATATTTACCTCAAATATCTGTCCGATATCACTTAGAAAGGAGATGAAAACAATGTATATTTTATTAAAGCAACAAAGCAACAAAGTGGTTTCCCAATCCAAAATGAAGATAGGAATTTAAAGTTCTATAAGAAACGCTCATTGTGTCCTAATAAGCTGTAGTACCACAAAGTGTCCAATTATAGGGACACCTATAGTGACCGAATATCTTTTACGAAACGGATTGCCACTTGCATCTACATCTAGGTCAAGTGTAACATTTTTGTTTTTGTATAATATATTAATAATGCATATTTGCAACAAATTCTTTCACTTGCCAATCATATCTACAGTTTTCAGAATTATTAAAGTACAATGCTTAATGAGATATATGATATATATATCGAAAACTGCTGCCAATGATAGGTATTTTTCAATTAATACCTCGTTGCTATGTCGCAGTCTATGATTTTAGTAAAATAGATCTATAGACGCACTAATACACAATCACAACAGATTGCACGACCCATGATCTTATATTGTCGCTGCTAACAATAATAGATATACTAGTAATGTATTCTGTACTCAAGTCATTGAACTAAGAAGTGTTTCTTTAATTTAGATTAGAACTGTAATTATATTTTACATATTTTCTTAAATACTAAAATTTTTTGATTTATTTCTATGTATTGTAAGGCATACTTTCGCAGAGTAATTTTCGAAACTCCCACCGAAAAGATACCTAGAACTGTTTATGAAATCATAAGCAAACAAATTGACATAAATTTAGATATGCATTAACCAAAGCTATATAATTTGAAGAAAAAAACTAATCAATGAAAGTAAACAAACTTCTAAAATTACTAATATTAAACCCAAATTAGTGAATAGGAAATATCCAATGAATTACTCGTATTGCGATGGCGTATCTGATGTTGGCAATCTACTTTTAATGTGATTTCAGTATAGTATTTTCGCCTTTGGAATATTTGCTGACTATTGATTTACCCACAAATGATTACATTAAAATGACAGCAGCAACAAACAAAGTCAAAAATGTGAAAGGTGTCATATCGTCAACACCTCAGACCCGCACCCAAATGACTTTTTAATAGTTGCTTTGTCAGCTTTTCTCTATTTTTTTTTTATAAATTTATTAAATTATATATTCTATATATATATACACATTATTATACGAATTATACATTCACATATATAACTGTTTTATTCAAACCAACATAATAGCATTTTTAACCTTTATCATATAAACAATTTTTTGAATTTATTTTTAGGTTTTCCAAGCGTTATGAGCTTCCTCTTCTCGTCCAAAGTGTTGTTATGAACATAACCATGTTCCTGATGATACATCTTTGCGTTAAAGTAAAACGATTAAATGCCTCCAATAGAGAACGCACCTTTTCAGGTAAGTAATATTTAATTTTATTTATGAATTTAGTTTAAATTTGTTCATTTTTACACATAAATTTTTAAGGCGATGACCTCCGCTTACCGAAAGTGATGACAGATACAGATACTGCTGGTTCAGTTTCCACAGACGCTACAGTCTTAAAGCGTTCGCGTTCAAGACATTATCTAAGTGGTAAGTATTCTAAAACTGTTCCACTTAATTGGCCTTAATAATTTCAGTATTACAACTATATACGTAGTTTCATAGTTAATACCGCCTGAGATGGTGTTTTATATATTGAATAACCATTTTTTTTAATATAGGAATGATTATTTAGAATCAATCTTAAAATAAGAATGTGAATTTTTAATGTGTAATTAGCTTTGCAGCTATCCATTGACATAGTTTTTATACTTTATTCCATTCGTTTATCCCTTTAGCAATAAAAATCTTTCCATTGAATATTAAATGTATCAAAACACTCTACTTTATAGACCATATTGTGTCAATATGTCTATATGACATATTCACAATATCTTAATAATATCAATAATAATCCTATTAGAATTAATGATGATAAAAGTCGTTTATCTAAACGGTAAAAATTTATTCATGTGTGTTACACACTCTATTTAGAAATGAAAGTGCACAACATAAACTCTTAGCAAACTACTAAGCTAATAGTCCCTTTAATTCCTTATTTACTAATTTGTATGCAACTGCTCCTGAGTTCTTATATTTATTCCACTTCAAATTCATTCGATTGGTTCAGCAGCAAAAACAAGGGTAAATTATGCATAGAATGACAACAAGAACTACTCTCTGTCACTGCAGATATTAAATTTGCTTTTAGATTTAAGCAGATTCAAGCATTCACACACTTAAAATCTATTCGTCTGTTTACAATGCACAATACATATACTACGTTTATACACATAACCAAGAACAACTGCTTCGGGACGAATGACAAATAGCACAACTGTAAGGAGAAAGAAAATACTTATCCAGCAGATTAGTTCGCTGTATAAATTATTTCTGTATTTTTTTATTGTTTTAAACGAGATTGAAAGAACTGACACTTAGTCGTCTGGAAAAAATGATTTGCACCGCAATCTAACCCCAATTGCTGCTAAAACTATTTCTCTAGTGGTTCGTTTATCAACGTTTATCAAAAAGTAGTTAAAAAGTATATATCTTTTAGTCCACTTTGTATGTATTAACGGAGATAACTATATTAACGAATGTGAAAATGTGATTCATTGAAGTTTTCTGATATGCAACAAAATCTTAAAAACTATACCTAGAAGCAATGTAAACACCAGCAAACACTGATATTAAAAATGTTTTAAAGATTTCTTTCCACATGCGCCATACCAGTGTAGATAGCACAGCTGTATGATATTAATGGAAACATGATACAATTGTGTTAGGCCTCAACTCTATGCGTAGCCATTAGTTTGTACGTCATACCATTTAAATATCATGTATGTGCCTGCAAAAAGTAGAAACCTACTCTAGAAAGAGAAAAACCTACCACTTGTTAAACAAATTCATTTTAAAAACATACTTACGCCGGATCTGTTTGTACAGACCCTTCTCTCGGTATGGTTAAGTTAAGAAGTTTTCTTTAGATTTCTTCATTTTTTTCGATTAGTACTGGGCCTATTCCAGGAACTAATTGGAACTTAACTTCCAATTAAGGTCAATAAGTTTTTATATAATAAATTAATTTTTAATATATAGTAATACTCATACTGAAACAGATACAATGAATAGTCTACGTCTACGAATAATGCTAATGTTTCTTACAGTTAATTGTTAGTTGTTCCAAAGTATTATTTAATAGCATTTTTAATTATAAGTGTTATACCCAGTTCTTATGTCTTCAGAATAGCACTTTCTTTTCGTACTGACGCAATTTTATTATTTCAGGTGAAATTATGCTATATAACCGCGTTATTTTAGTTAAGTTTTCATTGTGACAACGAATTTTATATACTAAAAATACGTTAAATATAACTTCAATAACTGAAATAACTGCAGATGGAATGATAGAATTTTTAAACGCAAAGTTGTAAGGCCCAAAGTGCTGCCATACAGTCTACTATAAAGATTATCATAGAAACTTCTTCACCGATAAAATGCATATTATTGCATGTTCAAAACCCGTCTTACAATAACAAAATTTTACTTAATCTTTATACATACTACATACATATGTACTTTGTACGAATTTTCAAATTATTCTTATTTCGTTTGTAGATCTCGATTTAAAATTTTTTTGGAATTGGACCGATTTTCAATCATATTTAGATTTTATGCTCTTGGTTTGGGCAATCGGAGCAGCAATTACATATCTAATGTTATCTGTGGACTGGTTTATGGAGACAGTAGGTTTTTTTGCTGTCTTCACAGAGGCTATGTTAGGTAAGTTTACTAATTTAGCACTAAATACGAGCATTTAATAAAATTATATCTATAAAATATATTAAATATATAATATTTATGTTATATGATTTGCAACTAAATTTAATATTTTGTAGGAGCGCCTCAATTCCTACGAAATTTTAAGAATAAATCAACATATGGAATGAGTATACACATGGTCATAATGTGGACACTTGGTGATATGTTTAAGACTGGTTATTTTATTGTTAGAAAAGCTCCTTCGCAATTTTGGATATGCGGGACACTGCAGGTATTCTAATAACTAATTCATTTTTGTTAATTATACTCGCATCATTTCCAATATTCATTTTTTCAATTGATAAAAAAAATGTTTATTTCAGGTCAGTTTAGATATAGCAATATTACTCCAAGTCTGGATATATCGGAAGAACTCCAAAGCACGTGAAATACGCCGTGGAGATTAGCAGTTTGCCCCCGAAGAACAACAACAACGATCTCCACAAGATTTACCCGACACAATGACAAATATTAATTCCGATAACAATCAATCTCTGCCGAACACCATTAGTAGCGGTGATGATCATTTGCTAACAGCCGACGCTGACGACAAGCACTTCCGTTACATGAATCATGAATACAAAAATTATCATGACAACCGAGCCTTCCAATATCACAATAACAATTCATTACCTAAATCTAAAGCAAAAATAATTCATCCACATAACAACGATGAACTTAATGTAGTTATAATACAGCAACGGAAAAGTATGAAAACGGAAAGTGGAAATTCAATGGTCAATAAAAAAGACAACAGTGGCGGAATTCGAGCAACTTGTAGACGTCATACGCGTACAAAAGCCACCAGACAACGACATAATGCTACACAAACAGCCGATTCTGGTATGGGTTGGAAATCGCACAGTAACTGTAGCATACATGGATGTAGGAGTTGCTATGGAATAAGTACTAATACCATTTGTTGTAATAAAAATACCAATAATTGCTGCAGTGTATCTACCGCCAAAACAGAACACAAAGGTATTGTTAATAATGAAATTCCCACTGAAGTCACTTGTCATTGTCATATAACACATCACTGCCATCATCATTACTCGCCTATCAGTGGCTCAGCAGTAATGACAGATGGAGGCAAAGATAATGATTATAAAACTCAAACAGCACAGCGACGACGAGAGCTGCGAAGCAAGCGCAAAAATTGTGAAAGGCTGAAACGTTCAAGTACTCAACATAAGCATCGGCATCATCATCACCAACAACACTGCAACCAACAAGATCATCATCTTCCAATCTATATAACAAATACAAAGTCTTCCTTTGAATCAAGCGATGAGCACATAGATCATTGCCCAGCACAATATGGCCGACACAATAGTAGCAAACGAAACGAAATTGCCATTGAAATCGATGCAGCTACTATGACTGAGGGTAATACCAGCACAGCAACTTCCAATTTTGCTTATAAAATGGCGGCAGATAACGCAGCTCCAATTATAATGGTTCCGGTTCATACTGAAATGCGTAAGCATCGACGGAGTTCGCTGAACTCGAATACCACAATTGAAACAGATGAATTGTCACATAATAATGATGAGATATTAACAAATGCTGATGTATGCAACATAGCAAATGAGTCCTCAACAGTCGCACCACGCGCCATTTGCTGTAATGACAAAAACTATTGCTGCAATATAGTCCCAGCTTCACAGACCAACAATGACTCTCATGCACAAAATGAGTGTGTCAAAATCAAACGTAAACGATTTATACAGTCAGCAAAACTCAATTCAAATAGTTCTCACTGTTCATGCTGTTCAAGTTGCTCTTGCCAGCAAGATCGAACGAGTAGTTGTAGCAGTATAGATGATTTCGCTACTGATGATGTGCAACCGCATGAATTTACTGTGTCAGCTGATTGTCATCACTGTAATATACAACGTCAGTCAAGTGCATCAACCATTGATGACTACGATGATGTTTCATTAAGCAAAGAACTACAAATATCTTCAATGCAACGAGGCGCTCAAGATCAAACATCAGACAGTTCAACGCGTACTAGTCGCCGTAGCAGTGCCACTTTCTGTTCATGCAACTCAGCTAATTGTTGTTATTGCAGTTGCAGTTGCGATGAATGTGAGACTGGCCAAATGTGTACTGCTCGAGATGAAACTATTACAAACACAGATAAAATAACTGCACATATGCCTACAGAATATGATGACCCACATTCGAGTACGTTAACACCAGTAACTACAAATCCCTCTTCGTTGGTATCAACTCCTCATGGAGATGATGCAGATGTGACCATTAGAAGTTTAAGTAACGTACTAGGTGAACCAGATGCATCGTCACTAAGTCAGTCAGCAGAATATTTCTCTCTTTCATCCTGCAATCAAAGTTCTCAACAAGCTACTCCGAATCACACTGCTACTGCGCCGATAATTAAGACAACTAGTACAGCTGCAACAAGTCACAAAACTTGCAAGCATTACAGCAAACATCATCGACATAAACGTGACTCTCCGCCAATTGATTCCTATTTATGACGAAGTATATCGCTGGTCTCGTGGCCAGCAATTGATGTAAACGCGCTGTTGCAGCAAACCATTAGAAAATCAGCCATCTTACATGAAACATTGGCTGCTGATGATAACCAACAATATCGACAACAGAAACAACAAAAACAACAGCTGCAAATAATGCAGCATAACACCAGTCAGCAGCAACAACGTCATGGCAGTAACGACAGCTCTACGGCAACTTTGACTCCAACAATTATTACAATTGCTAAATTCCCGCCGTCCTACAACAACGCAAGCATTAGCACCGGTATTGGTGCGAGTTCTAATTCCGCGACTTCGTCCTCTTCACAACAACTATCTTCACTACAATCGCTAGCAGCTATAACTGCTGTAACAACGATCTGTGGAAATAATGGCGCTTCTGTCATAACAACTGCTTCAGCACCTAGTAGCGGACGTGCCAAACGCACTTCCAAATTTTCACCAGTAGCCGCTGAAGCTTTTAGCTGTGATCCAATGCTATTTGCACAAGAACGCCGCTCTACAGAAATCATTTTATAGCAACTTTGTTCAAACTTAACACCTGATGCGGGTGCAGTTCGGAAAGTTTTGACAGCTATTTTTAATCACATAATGAATCAGATTTTATGTATACTGCGTTTGCTAGAGTGCAAAGCTTTGTCGTTGGTAGACAGATCAGTAGTGCAACAGCAGCACAAATACGGAATGTGAACTAGTATTTTATATGTTCCACATAATATCGGAACTGAATGCACATATATTTCTGATGTAACGTTCTGAACTATAAGGAATGCTTTTCTGATTACTTCGTTTTATGGTTTTATGGTTTGGCAGTCTTGTGTGTGTGTGTAAGCACTGAGAATATTCTAATTTTTGTATAAATTAATTTGTCAAAAGATCAACTTTCGGATATGTTCATACAGGCATTAAGTTAGTGAATAGGAATTTAAAATTATTAATAACATATTTATTGATCACTAATTCATTAATATATACATATATAATTAAATAATTTGTATACGAACCACAGTTCGAAATATAATAACTATCAAACATTTTGTGAGACTTTGTATTGTTTATATGTTGTTTCTCGGGGGTTAACTTTAAATAACAGTTAATGTAATTTATTTTGAGTTATTTTTTATTTTTATTCAAGAATTTGAAAAACAAAAACAAAACTCTTTGTTTATTTTATTTTAATATAAATGTTATACTTGTAAAAATTGTAGTCTAAAAATACATGTATGTAAAAGTAACTATAGAAATGCATTGCATTAATTATGAACTAATATGATTAAAAACAAAAACAAAAAGAAATTAATTGTTATATATTAAAATGATATTGTATAAGATTGTTAAAAATTTTCTGCTTGAATATTATAAATAATTATTAGGTTAAATTTATTATTTTTATAGCTTTTATTTTAAAGCAAACAAATGCATTAGAATGTATTCATAATACAAATACGAAAACATATCCATTTTTAATGATTTTGTTTTTCTGTAAGACCTAAAATTGAGGTTGTTTTTTTCGATGTTAGATTATGATTATCAATCAAGCCTTGCATTATCAATGAATTTATATTATCAAACTATAGTCAATTAATTTTTTTAATATATTTTAAATTATAATATTTGTAAGTAAATGTTTAGTTAAATTGATATATGTATAACAATTTTTTTTATAATTATTTTGTTATATTAAAGACAATCTCTGTTTAATTCAAAAGCACATTATTAAATTTTATGTTTATTTAGATTAAACAAATTTAATATTTATAAATAAAAATAAAACTAAGTACATCTATATGTATTTATAAAAATAATTAAACATTTTTTTTAAAATTTAATTTTTTTATTTTTAAAAGTTTATTTTTTTTTTAATTTATTTCTTATTTTAATTTATTTTTTTATTTTTAAAATTTTTTTTTATTAATATATTGATAATATAATTTTTATTTGTGAATATTTTAAAATTCACTGTTCTTAGTTATAATTATAATTTGTAAAGGCTTTTGTGAATAAAATATGAAAATGTTAAAATGTAACATTTTACATTTTTAATATAATTTATTGAGTTAAAGACTCTGTAGTATAAACTTGTCCCTAGATATGATATTATTAGTTATAAATTATGAAAGAAAAAATTACTATTCTTAAAGTTCTTACTCTAAACGAGTTATTTTTAAGAAACTTAAGAAAAAAGCCAAAACGAATTGCGAAACATTCATTGAACCCTACTGAATTATTGTTTTATCCGCTGAGGTAACAGAAAACCCCCTCCTGAACCCAAGTTAAATTTAACATTCCTACATGTACTGTCTTCTTTGCCCTATATTTCTTTCCTTATCCCACTCCATTCAGCAGCGCGTTGTCGAACCTTTTATGTACTTGCTTTTAAGCCCGCATTTGAGTACAACAATAACAAAGAACCGTTCAACTGCAGTTCTACTTCATATAAGTTTCCGCGCATTCGAAATTTGTTGTAGTCATTTATGGTTCCACGCTGTTGACTTGGGAAATTCCGATATCTAGACCCACACTAGAGTTAAAAGCTCTATCTGTTTGCTCATACGTACGCCTATCTCTTACTATCTTGTTCCATTATGCAGTGTCTTGTCAACTTCTTATGAACTTGCTTTCAGGACAAAAAGAACACATCCACGATATTTGATAAAAGATATTAAAAATTATAACTATGTTTTAATTTTTATATATTTTTTGTTCACACAAGTCTTTAATTTATCAATTTTATTTTATTTTATTCTCTCCCTCTCTCTCTCTCTCTCTATCTTTAGTGTAGTCTTATTAAATGCCTTATATAACTTAAAGTTAGCATTTGTAAAAAGTGAAGTTATTTAATTATTTTTACAGTTATTTATTTTCAATAATTAAAATTCATCATTTATTTTATTTCTTTTACTACAAACAATAAAAATTAACAAGGATTGAAATACTATATATAATAACAGAGCTCACTTAATCCTGTTAGCTAAATGTTACTGATTATTATAAAGCAAGCAATTATTCGTCCAACTTGGTTATTCAATATTACAATACATGGCGTGGTTTAAGAATACTTAAACATATTAACCTGATTTATTAGATATATACAAATGTTAGCAAGGAGTGCCGACTCGAAATAGAATAAGGTTAGAAAAACTTAAGAAAAGAAGAAGAAATGTGTAACCGATATAGATCACCTCACTCATGCTGTCCTAAAGTAATGCGCCATTGTAGGATTAAGTGAGATGTACTTTTATAAAAACCACCGTTTTAAAGAGTTATCCCTCTTAAATTTATATATATATATATATATATATATATATATATATACAAAAGTTTACAAAAAGTTTTCATTCATATATACTATAAATATGTATTTTAAAACATCATCTTGATGGATCTTTAAGATTTTTGATGGATGTTTTTTATAAAAAGCATCTCTAGCAATATACACATGAATCCTGCTTAGTTCTGATAATGATTACTTTGGTGTAAGGACATGAACAAAAATCGTTAATATGTTAGATTTTAATGTATGTTGAACTACAACATATAATTTAAAAAGAATATCAACTTCCATAAATTAAAAAATTTTAGTTTATTTGTTTTTCATATATTTATTTATTTATATACTTGCACAGCAAATTTTTCATTTAATATAAATTTTTTTTATTTAATAAAACTTCAGCTATAATACTTCCTTTAAATATTGAGATTCCGTTTAACTCTTAGCTATAATATACTATATAAGTAAAATAAACAGCAGTAGGTTTAAGAAACTCATTATACGATAATAAATACAAATATCTATAAATTTAATCTTTAATCATGTATAACCAATTTATGATTCTTTTTTAACTTTTACTCTAAGTGTATATAAGAAAATTTAAAAATCAAAAAAACTTAATATTTTAGAATTAAGTGTGTACTACTATAGATACAAAAATGCACATTGCCCTATATAAGAAGGTTTTTATAGTTAGAGAAAAAAGAGATAATATAATATATAACGTATATTCATATACAATTTTGTTGATTAGTATGTAGTAAAGTTCTCAAGATATTAATAAAACAATTTAATTGAAAGACGACTAAAATGCGGGATATTGAAGATCTTATACGTATGTACTATATATAACTTGTCAAGGATTTCACAACTTATTTATTTCATCAGTATTGTTGTATATACATATATATACACTGAAAATGTATGAATTTATATAAATTATAGTGCTAAAATTTATCTCAAATCAGTATATATAATTTTAAAACTGAAAACAACAGATATCTAGATCCAAGAAATCTGGTTTGCCAGTTTGCAGATTCATTTAACACAATACTATATAAGTTGTTATGGCACAAAGCGTTATACCTTAAATTGCATATATCCGGATTTTCATAAATAATAATTGTGAGGCCGCAGGATCGAAGTCTTTCAAAGTCGATATGATATATTCACTCAATTAATTTATTAACATTGAAAAGCAATAACTATATAAGTAGACTCAGTAAACGTTTATATAAAAATATATACTTATATATATATATCACGTATATACCAGAAATCTTCTAAATTAAGAGACAAATATAGATTTTTTGTTATTGAAATACGTATTAGAAGTGTTTTGAAAAATCATATAAATTATAGTAAAGATACAAAACAATTTCGATTAACTTTTTCAGTATTTTATAATATAAATAATATCTTGTAAACTATAAATTATTATTAGCTTGTGTAATAAAATTTTACAATATAATAAAATCTTATAAAAATTATATCAAACATTAAATATACACACATATCTGAGTTAATTTTTCTTAAATAAGATAATATATTCAATTTTATGCAAAACCAACCTCTTCTTAAAAATGAATCTATTTCTTCGAGAAAAAAACCTAACATAAAATTAATATAATTGTGGAATTTCGTAATGCAGAAAAATTATTACTGATAAGATTTAATAACTAAAGAAAACTAAAGATATTAGAACTAAGTCTCCTTCCCTTTGTTCTTGCTGTTATAGCCTAGCCAGTATCATAGACAAAGTCAGCTTTGATGTGAGAAGTAGAATACAATTTGTTTATAGTAGTATCAACATTGCTGGAATAATAATAATAATCTGGTGAACAGATAAACACCAAGTTACAAAGCATCATTAGGAAAAAAGGATAAGGAAATAATGATGATTGATGATTTCACTGAAAATGATGGACTGTAGGGAATAGAGTGAAATTGGGTATGGATAGAAAAATAATTGTAACTATGTTATACCCAGTTTAAGTATCTATTAACCTCACTGACATATGAAGTTAAGAATGATGAAAAGATGAAAAAATTGGACTGTAGGAAGTAGAGTGAAATGTGTATGGATAGAAAAGTGAATGCATTTATGTATTCAATTGAACTGCTAGATGACATAGTCTCAGTAGAGTATATTCACATACACTAATATGATCAACAAATGAAACTGTCCCATCATCAAATCTTGATTCTGTCGGAATAGTTCTAAAAACAAACAATTTCAAGGGTAGAGTTAAAACACAGAAACCTATATGAGCAATATGAACATAAGGAAACCCATCTGTTGTCATAATTCAACTTACACACTAATTAGAGCCTCATTGACTTATGGCCCTTCCATTGAAGGGCTAGCTTCAATTAGAGGTTTGTGATCCATACATCATCCTACTTTACAAGTTCATTCGGTTACATAAAAATTAACAAAAACGCAATAAATATTGCAAAAATGAAAAAAGAATTTAAAATTCTAGGACCAAGCTTTATTTTTAGATGGTGAATTAAACATATCTCAAATAATTAAATTAACACTCATATATGTAATGGAAATTGAAAGGGTTGATTATGGAAAGGATTGTTCACAATGGTGGTTTATACAATCTTTAATCTCTTTATGTTTCTCAAAATCTTTGCTTAATGTATAAAAATAAGTACTACGCAAAAAACTTATTACCACTTTAAAAAAAATTATAATTAAATATTCCAAAAAGCTAGGCAATAGAGATTATTTATATTTTTTAGGACTATGAACTCAAGATTCATCATAGATATATTCAATTGTCCAAAAGTGATAAAAAATATATATAATATATAAAAATAAAATAACATTTATGTAAGTATCAGCTTGTATTAACTAGATAATAATAAATAATAATAACGGAAACAGAGTATTGAATAAGCGATAAAGTAATATGTATTCATGTTTTTGTGTTTATCTTTTTTTTTAATGGCATCTCATTTAAAAGACCAATTGTTTCTAAACAATTTTATTATTTAGTATAATTTAGTTTATATAAATAAATAAAATATATTCATTAACCCATCCAAGGTAATATAAAAAAGGTGCCTTCCAATAAGCACAGGGTATATTAAAATTCTCACAAGGCTTCTTATACGATTTTCGGATTAAGATTATATCTCAAAAAAGTGAATCCCTTAAAGCATTATTTATGCAGCTACTTTGAAACACTAAAACACATGTAAATTCACAAACTATGTAGTAGCAGGCTTATGCAGCTTAGGGACAGACCATTTGTCTCAAATAACATATGGACGAAAACACAACCTTCCCAAGTGTTTGCACTTAATAAAACTTTAAGGTCTCGGCGCATATGAATTGAATAAATTATAAAAAAAGATTAATTATAAATTTAAAATTAAAAACGTTACATTTTTTGAATATGCTGATCCATGTATAAAGGTATTCAACTCGGTAATTCGGTATTCAGCACAGTAATAAAATGACGTACACTGAACGTCTCTTTTTAATTTTTTCTCGACGAAGTTGTGGAATTAAACTGCTAAACAGGCTGATTTTTAAATTAAAATAAATTTACAACGAACTAGTTATTTTATTTGTTTTTTTTACCATTAATGTTTCTTTATTTATTATTCTTTAAAGCTCTGTAAACTTTAAATCTAATTCAAATTTTCTACAACACTTCACAACAATAAAAATCAGCTGATGTTTTACCGAATACCGAAAAAATTACCTAAATACCCTTTATTTAATCAGTATTTAAGTGGAACATTCGGTCTAAGTAAGTAGATTCCAATGCAACCTAAAAAACTTATATGCAACCTTTATTTATCTGCAAAAATTTTAATTTATGTATGTTTTATAATTTTGTCTTATGAAAATATATAAAATAAATATGTGACTATGAACTTTATAGGACTTTTGTATATAAATTAGATTATATTAGTTTAGCAAATTAACCTGGCTAAGCTAGCCTGTATTTGTTATTGTTTCAATACGTATGAGTTAACTTCAATTAAATGCATATATCTGTTGAGAACAAATATATGACATTTATAAGAAAGCTGATATTGGTAAGTTATGTCTATTGAGAGATTTCACAAAAAGAAAAACTTTTTCAAAATCTACAAAAACTGTTAAGTTAACCATCAATCACAAAAATCGTGCTATCATCTATATTCTACTGTGTTATAAGTGAAGTTTTATAAAAAAAGTTTACTCCTTGATGCAAAATTCTAACTACGCCACTGTTAACTATCAACGAAAAATCCGTTAAAATGTCCTCATGGCTGGTAACGAAGCTGGAAAAACTTTTAAACGTATAAAAAAAATATTGCTGAAAACTTGAAGGATGGACTCCAATTTTTGTGAAGTTTGTTTGCAGTTAGTATTAGTAAATTTTTTTTTTTGCTTTGTATGATATATCACAATTTATATGATTTAGTAGCCCAAATTTATATATGTAAAGCTCAGATCATAGTATTTTTAGATTTAATTGAAAATTTAAGAAAACGATTTCAACTGAAGCTAGCAGACTATATAGTAGATATTTTATATACCATAATCAAGTAATTTAAATTTAAATTATCTTGAACGTATCTACGGCTATTTCGACTTAATTCACATGTCATACTTGATAGTACACCCATGATGATGATGATGAGATGAGAAAAATGGTAGAACCTCCAAATTCTTTAAAGTACAAAGTATAACATCCGTCCATCTTATCCGCTCTGTCATAGTTTGCCACTCGATTGATAAGAAACGGTTTTAATATCTCTTTTTTAACGTAAAGACTATTTAGTTTTGGAAACGAAACATTCGTATCCCTTAACACTTTTACTGTCCATGGAATTTTCGAAGTGTGTAGGTATTATTTTATGTCTTGATATATAATCACGTGAAAGTTGTTTACATACTTAAGGTAAACAGGTAAGAACTGCGTAGTTCCATATGCACTGACTGTACTCAGATTAATACAGATACGGATGCAGATACATATAATGCATTCTGACGCCGAAAGACATAAGAATTTATACATTTTACTAAAGAATATAGTTTAATTTTTAATAATAATTAGTTTAATATTATTTATTACTTTACAGTGATTGAGAACTTTATTGTTTACTTGTTGGTATTCAGTTAACTATTTTCTAGTTATTGAATAAATTGTAATCCTAATCAAACCTCTTTGAACATCAATTATTTATGAAAATAGAATTAAGAAGACAAATGCATAATTGTAGGTAAATTAATTCTAGACATTAGCCAACTAAAAAGTACCTGCCCAGCTAATGCGCAGAGTGTAATAAAAATGTTTTTATGAAATGCATTTTTCATATATTTGTTTTGCTCTTGTTATTTTAAGAGAAATACAGTTGCGGAATTAAATGAAAATATAAAGCAAGAGAATGCAACAACAATCGACTGCATTATAAAGAATACTTCTCAAATGAAAACTATGGAAATGTAAAATGCAATAAAAGACAGTAAAAAAAACGACAAGTTTAAATATTGCAAAACAGGGTTGTAAAATTAAAATTCACACCACATAAACCGTGTGCGAGTTCGAGTAAATTGAGGTAAAGAAAATTGAAATTTCCTAGGCATTTTTTGCACTACACTTATGTAAATATTTATTTATTTATTTATTGCACTTATTTATTATTTTTGGTTAACAGTTTTCAAATTTATTTATTTATTAAACATCTTAAAAAAATTCTCACAATGATGACAACTAATTTACCTAATTTTTATCTAATTTACCCTATTCGAAATTCTGGTAAATACCAACATTCGCTGCCATACCTACATAATTTACTATTTCCCTCAATTTACCATCAATATATTCGAACCCCCACACTGCCTTAATACGTATATAAAAAGAATAATTATGTCTTGCTTAAATTTTTGTTGAACTGCTTTTGTTAAGTTAAAAACGGATCTTTACGCGAGATTAAAATTGATGTTAAGAGCTTTAAATCAAATACATGGATTTTAATATACATATATGTTTTTTTAATTTCCCCTAATAATATCCTTAACTATTTAATTATTTTTAATTTAATTCAGTTTTTGATAAATTATTCAGATATTCAAACCAATGACGTTAGATATTTGTTAATAATTTCATTTTTTCTTAATTCAATGTGTTCAGTGTTTTTAACATCATTCATTTCAGTTGCATTTATAAGTGAACCATTTATCTATTTCGAAAACTGCCAGATACGTATATGCACACAAACAACTTAAATTATTTTCATCAAACAGCTGCATATGGTTGCTGTAATTCTGTTTAAGAAAAGCATATATTTAGAAATGATCTTAAAGAATGACCATATTACTGAAAATTTATGTATCAGAAGTTAGATTATATAGCGGACTTACCATAATACAATGTTCATGTTATCTACTTTAGCTACCGAACTTTGCTGTAATTAGTTTCCGAACTCAAAGCGTTACAGTTATAGTTTCAGGATTTATGGAGATTTGTACTTCATATTATCAAGTCTGTTTCACTAGCTATTCGGAGGTACTTTAAGTAACACTGTGTAACAAGCATGTTCCACCAGCAAATTTTCGAGTAAATAATAGCATCTGAGAGTGCGTATCATCACTGTCCAAATTTGAAAATGCTGCACAGACTTTATTCGCATATTTTATTTCAAGTAAAATTTGTGTGATGTGTGAATCAGCTGTTTTGGTTTGAAATTAAATTTTTGTATTGTTAATTTGCGACGCAGTGTTGTTCTCACCAGATTTTACACAAACCTGTTCCATGAAAATTTATATAAAGAGCGTAATTTGGCACTTTATTTGTATTATGTTCTTAGTTTGTACTTCACTTGTGTTTTACTTGAGTTTTACTACGAATAGCTCGTGGGTGAGAACGGCTTGGTGAATAATATCAAGGGAAAGATTATGACTCCTGTGATATGTATTTTTTATAAAGATATGTATTTGTCTCGAAAACGCTATTTCCTAAATATAATAAACTATTTATAATAATTAAGTAAAAGAAATCATGTTTAAAAATATTATAGCTGTTATTTATTAAATATCAAATAATTTGTGAACAATAAAAAAATTCTTTACAAAAAAAGCACATAGCTGTGTGCACAGTTCAAAGAACATATAAAAATTAATGAATAAATATTCGATAAATTCAAGTGTACAGAATCATCCTGCAATTGTCTATTTCAGCATTATCAAGCATTTTGAACGTCTGTAGTAGAATGCCTGTCGATATCGATAATTAAAAACTTGTTTTTTTTTTAAATAGAAAAAAATTCATCTAACTATCTATATTCTTATTCGTATATTATTCGTGAATTGTAAATTCATGATAATAGTAGGCCAGATTTTTGAAAATTTTATTGCAATCAAAAATTTGTTTGAAAAACAACCCTGTGTTGTACATTCGTAGTCTACATTTGGCTTGTATTCATAACGTAATATTGTTCAGTTTCTACCGCTTTGTTCAGTGTTTATTTGTTGTGATCGTGTATAAAAAATATTTCATTAAAGATTTTTGTTTTGTGCTTTGGTGTTATTAAATATTTAAAATATTTTCTTTAAACAATAAACTGTTTTACAGACAATCAATACATACAACACTGTTACAAAACAGCTGCTATAACAATTGTTTTATGGTGCGTAGCCACCACTTGTACACTTTGCTGTTGTTGTTGTTGTATATGAGCAAAAATCTGTGTGCTAGCAGCTCAGCTCAGTCTGCTTTCAACTCGCTTCGATTGTGGTGTGTTAATCGAGTGTGTCTCGTCGCCGACGCTGGGATAGGAAATATTTACGCGTCTATACCGTTATCTATAAAGTACAATTCAAAAAAGTTCATCTAAAAACTGAACAGTATCAATTGTTTACATAAACGCTCAATATAGTTTAGGTTTAAGTGCAACATTAAATATTTTTAAAGCAACTTTCCTGCAAAGCGCATTGATTTTGCAAAGTCGAACTAAACCCTGGCGACAAAACAACACAACAACAAGGCAAACGGCAACTTATATAAATAGCTAAAGAAGTACAAACCAAAAACATCACAGATTCAAGGATAATTAAGGATATTGCAAAAATTTGCTATAGCGAAGAGAATAACTAAGTAAGTTTTTATGTATAATTTTAAACAATTTTATATTTTATATTTACAATTACAATTTTATTTCTGTGTATAAATATTATCATTTAATCTGAAAAGGACTTGATAATCAAGGGAAACCCTTAAAGCAACGCCCTCAATAAAAATAGGCTATTATATGTTATTTTTTTTTATTATTTTTTTGAGTTGAGCTACTTATTGTCCTTGCTGGAATTTGATATGCGTTTAGCAAAAGATTTGACTTTTACCGGGTGCAATGTTTATTCATTTGTTATCCCCTTTCTCCTTGCCAATGTTGTGACGCATTTCGAGTTCGGATCACGTAGAAAATTCTGCATTGTTTGTGTACGCTCGTACATGCCAAAAAATGTTAAATGTCTGTCAAGATGCAAAATAAAAAATATATCTTTATATGTCTTTAAATCGACTTTATTGACTGACGCGACTGAAGGACTGCATGCTTGCGCTGAATAGCACTTGGAAAAGAAGTCTTTGTGTATGCATTTTATGTGGTGTGTGGGTGATGAAGATGGTGGATGACGAAAATGATAACAAATTTGGTTTTTTTTCACACATACAAGTATACGTTTTATATACAATGACAAGACGACAGTCTTTCCATAAAGCACTAAAAAGCCCAGAACCTCGAAGGATGTGTTTGACATTGAACTTGATTGCATGCTGAAGGATTATAAGCAATAAAACAATCGAAACTAATTTCAATCTTGACTTTTCATTGCAATCCTATTGGCACTGCAAAATGCATTCAATTGTTCTTTGAGGGATGAGTGTTATATTTTCTTTTCTCAAATCCTAAGTTTTCGTTCAAACCTGGAAACTACACTTAAGTCTAAGAATAAAAAAAAAGTTAAATTGATTTGATATCTTCTCGATTATTTTCAATCAAAATTCTATGAAAGCTAAAATTTTGTCTATTACTATTCAGTAATATTATATACATATATATATAAAATTAGAACAAAGAGCTTTTTCAAACAGTAAAGAACTACAACGACAAAAATTCATTTTATATTATTTTAATTAATTGAATTTTTATTGACCATAAAGCTGTTTCGAGTATACCCATCTTCAGTGGTCTTCCTATATTTAATTATTTATAAATGATTTCTTTGAGACTGCATGTACCAGAAATCGAACTCGTGCCCTGCCAAATTTGAAGCTCAAAGTTAGCGCTCCTTTAGCAACTGACCCAAAACCGTACTTGACTTTTATATTTACACATTTTTCTGGAGTTTTTTGTTAATTTGCTGTGAAAGTTTTATTAACAAATACACTTGCTGTGTTTGTATTAGAACGAAATCATAAACCAGCTGCAGAATAATTGAATTAATTAATTATATTTTTGTTTTTAATTGTTAAATTTCAATACTATTCAGAATACTATCTAGTAAACATCCGCAGAGACATCTTCATAATATTCCAAACGTACATAATCGCTATTTAAGCAAGTATCTTGTAGAGTGCAAACCTTGAAGTTATGAATAACAAAGAAATCTGTTGAAATCGTCTACTTTATAGTAACTAGATAAAATATTACTTTTCGTAGGAAGAGATAAATAATCACTACTGTTTGAGTACCTTGTCATGTCGAGATGACAGCAGTAACCACCGATGAAGTATTTGAGTTATAACCGGATATTACTGGTAGTTTCTAGTAACGTTTTTGTACATACCAAATAAAAACATCAGGATTCAGCTGAGAAGAATAGGTATCTTAACAAAAATAAATTGATGACTCAACAAAAAATCGATTTAGCAAGTTATGAACAGAAATTTAACGAAGGTTAAAATTAAATTGTTCTACGGTACAAATATCTGTTTTTCAACTGATATTTACCACTAACACTCATTATCGATGGCCAACCAATAGTTGATAAGTCTTTACTTTAAATTTATGACTCAATATAATGCTAAGCAATTAACTGTTTTCAGAGCAGCTAGAAGTACGTACCGCTTAGCATCCCGTCAAATTTTCACTGCCTGCGAAATACACAAACAAAATAAGATTTCGGGGAATAATCAAGCAAGTTACAGCAATATAATGGTTAGGTTGAGGTTTAGGTAACTATTGTATACATAAATTACACTGAAATTTAAGAATGCTGTTAACTTCTATACCTCTATTAACTTCTATTCGGATCCTTTAATTCTTCGGTATAGCATCTTTTCATTATACATGAAAATATTATTCAGTACGGAAGGAGCTACTAGCTGTTTTCATATGATGTGTATCAAAATCTATAATTTAACGTTTAGTTGACAAGTTAAATGGGTTTTTCTGGCGCCAAAAGTCACTCAAAGCCTCAAAGCACTCTATTTTTTTGGAAACTTATTTTTTAGTATGTTATTCATTGATCACTTAAAAAAAAGATCAATCTATAGCAAATGTTATCTAGGATTATTATTACTAGGATTATTAAACCGATACCCAGTGAAGAAAAAAAAATAACTTTTCCTCAAGATCATTATAAGTCGATTCAACAATGATTAACTGGTATGAATTGAACTTTGAATTACTTTTTCCATCTATTCCCTTGTATTTTCCGGATTTAACTCCTATTGACTACTACTTAATTGCAGAACTAAAAATATAATTCTAGGAAAAGATTTATTATATTGATGATGCGTTTACCGATATTAAAATTTACTTTGTGGTTATAGTTAAATTATTCTTAAAAAAAAATAGCATCAAAATATTAGAGAAACGTAGGAATTAAGTTAGCACTCTTAACAGATACTATGTTGCTGAAAGAAGTCGAATGAACAACCTTTTCGAAAAGGAAAAGCAAACAATTACTGTTTAATGTATTCGTATTATGGCCAGCATATATAATCTTTTTTGGGGATTTGCTTATATAAATTAATTTTTAAATATTAATTCATTTATATAAAACATTAAATAATAAATAGAAAATTGTATTTAATTATGTAAAATTTATTATAAAAACTTGACTTTTTATTATTATTCCTTAAAGATGTTTTATCGACTCAGAAAATGTCAATAAGAGTTAACAAGATTTACTGACGTTTTCGGCTTATCCAACAAGCCGCAGGAACATTAACAGTAATTAAAATTGTTGGGCTCTAAGTCATATTAAAATGAACCTCATTTTTCATCTGACTTACCCGTTGGCGATACAGCAATAGGTTTTTTATTATTTGCACTTCTCAGCAGTTGTCGTAAATATTAATAAAATTCCTATTGCGAACAACAAAGCAATGTGTGTCCGCGTGAAAAAGTCCATAAAATTATGCACGTATCTGAAAGTTTGTGCAAAAGTTTATACAATCCTTATACAACCCAGTTAGAAAAAGCTATATGACCTCCCCAAAAAAAAACGTACTAATCCTATTTTCGTGTTTACACGAATTTCGGCGCTGCACAGTGATGATTGAGATTTCAAAAACACACTTAGCAACTCGTCATCACATTCACTGTCTCGCTGGGATACTGTGAGGCTGTGACGCTGGGATGCTGGGCTGCTGGTATGCTCACATGTATCTCCCGACTGACGTAAAAGCCCACATAAGCATATGTTTTGCGTGTATCTATCCAACGTAGTTAAATGAGTAAGAGTGACAACAATGGATGTTAAAACGTCGTGTTTATTGTATCCTTTTAGGTAAGCGACAGCATTTAAAAATACATATGAAAGTTAAATCGTTTAACAGGATATTTTGCTGCAAATAATTTAGTCTAATTTTACCATTTTATGTGGACTGTGTAGGCGGTGACGCTGACTTAATTGTACTACATGCACACATTTGTATCGCACTTATAAAATAAGAGAAGACAAATCAAGGTCAAATATGAGTAAAACAATATTTAAGCATCCTTTTTGACTTTAATATATATGTAGATAATAATGGTAGTACCTTTTACCGCGCTCTTAACCTCTCGAAAACAATTAAGATGACATTGTTAGAGAAACAAGACCGACAAAAATTGTTAAGCTAAAAAATAGATGTTAAAGAAAAAAATAGAATAAATATATATACGCTATATGTCATTACCACGTATTTTTTCCGCTCAATTAGGTGGTTCACTACTTGAATAGGTCTTTTCCATAGTACGCTAAAAATAATAATTTATTTAATATGAATACGGAATATCATTTATCGCAAAGTTCCTGATTGTTCACAAAGTCGTAATCTCTTGAGACAGTATCCTCTTGACACTATATTCTCCAGACGCAGTGCAAGCTAGGTAGTTACATAGTTTCTTATTAAGCAGACACGCCATTCTGTCGCTTCAAATAGTCGCATCTTATTAAGAGAGTAGAACAAACAGACGAACTCGAGATCTCTTGATACAGTATCCTCTTGACGCTGTATTCTCCAGACGCAGTATAAGCTAGGTAGTAACACAATTTCTTATTAAGTAGAGGCGGCATTCGGCTGGTTCAAATAGTCGCATCTTGTTAAGGGAGTAGAACAGACTGAGGTTGTCTACTTAACCCATTAACATAAAACTAATAATTTAGCTCTACTGTATTGAGAAAATGTTCCCTTTAGCGACAAATGAAGGATATTAATATATAACAAAATAAGTGAAATGGAATTGGTGATTTTCCAATAGTCTTCTATATTTTATTTCACACAACTGCGTTATTCACGGCAACTATTAAATAATAATTCAAGTTAATTAACCAAAGTAATTTATAATATAAATCAGATATTTCAAGTGTTTGTGTAATGCAGTATATATTTCTCCTAAGTACTCTTAATACATATAGGTATAATAGCCGATGTATAAAACAGCTGTTGTTAGATAACAATATAAGATGTATTAAAGCTTTAAATTTATATTTATTTTTTCTTATTAAAGCTTGTTAACATTATTGTATTATAATACGAAAAGTTTAGTAATATCGTTTATCTTAAAAATAATCGACAAAACCATATGAATTTACTTTGTATACATATATATATTATAACTAAAAGTACAAATTACCAATATTCGTAATTCTGGAAGTAATTGAATTCAACTACAACTGTGATCTGTCGTAAAATATATTTCAATAATATTTTTCACAGATTGCCAGTAATGAATATTTTGCAATAACCGAAACAGTTTTTTGGTTATACAAATAAATGAATTGCTTTCAGTTTTTACACTTCACTTTCACTCTTTAAAGATACTATTAACTATGTTTAATTTATATACATGCATTTGTTAAAGCCCATTTCTGTGGTTCTTTAAATAGTTCCTATCTTAAAGTCAGGATAGATTCATGACAGTCATGTCTAATATATCCAATTATTGTTATTGTTATAAATAAAAATGAAGAAAAACAGCACACATTTTTTCCCGCTAATTTTTATCTTTAATAATTTGACTTTAATCTAAAGTCGTTTTTGAGAAACTGACAATTTTATATTAAACGAGATAATGTCTTATGGACAAGCATATCAACAGAATTGTTATTGCTTTCAATGACAAGTGAACACTACTCATCAACTCTGCTACAGCCCAGTAATGATAATTTTTGTTGAGGATTTATTATCTATCCTTTTTATACATTAAGCTGCTTTATCAAACCAAAATTTCGACTTCTCGAAATTTACATTGGTTCTACCTCATAAAGTATTATGCAACAACTTACTACAGATATACAATATCTACTCCCAAGCCCACTATCTCAACCAGTCAGTTGACCAGTTTTTGTTGTATTACAATAATTTTACTTGTTGGGGTTTATGCATGTCTTATCTCCCTTGGAATAAGGTGTGATATAAATTTATGTAACATCTGCTAACATTTTAATAATTTCAATATTCATTGCCATTTAATTAGTTCCCTAGTCTCCAGATCGAAAAATCATTATATTTAATTAAAAATAAGGGAACGTACCTAGTATGTACCCTTCATCTCATCTTATAAATATCTGTGATAAAAACTTCTAACAAGCAAAAATACTCAATTCTCAATCCATAATAACACAATCGGGTATAGGGACCGTATGCAGGTGTCATAAAGTTGTATTTTTAGCTTACTACTGCTATAAATTGTCCCAGCGGAGTAAGGTAATGCAATAATAGACTTTTTATACTTCAACATATCTACAATCGAACAGAAGATGGTTCTCTTATATTTAGTTTTGATGTTATTAATGTCAGAGTGAAGTCTTCAAAATTCCAAATTCCAAACTTGTAGTTGTCACCAACAAACGGGAATATTAAATTACTTGATTAATTAACAAATTACCAATTTAAGAGAAACTATTTTTTGTCTACATTTTCTGTTACAAACGAAAAAGTGGTACACTCTACGGCTCTTCTTTAGACCAACTTACCTTCTTATAAAAGGACATGAAAAGAAATTTTCATTAAAAATTTATAGGACTAATTAACAATTCCATTCATATAATCTATATCAGTCCTAAAATATAATCTCTCTGATGTTGTGTTTAATCTTTCTAAATACCTAAATATCATTCTACTATATTGGCTTATTAAATTTGTCTCTTAAGTTATTTTTTCTTAAATTTAAACAATTAATAAATTTAACTGTGATTTAAAAAAAAAATCGTGTTTGATTTCGTTTAATAGGGCAATCTCTTCATTATGAGCAATTTAAGAGATAAGGTGGGGATAACAAAAAAAAATTAATTGGTTTCAATTAAGTTTGTAATTTAATTTCGCATACGAGCATGTCTTACATACACTAAACAATTAAATTTTTATTTAATAATTTTATATATATTATTTATATAAATTTTTTTTTTTTAAATTTTTTTAATACTCTTTTTTTCCATTATATTATTTCGCATCTTTAATGAAGCCCAATTGGAGAGTCCTGACTCATGCGGTTTCTCTGACTGTTTTTCCAGAGTTGCTAAATTACTTTGAGGATTGGAATGTGTTTCAAGATTACTGTTTTGTTGCATTTTGTGTTAATGCTCCGGATTGTTTATAGTTAATTGTTGTCTGGTCTGACAGTTTCATCCTCTTTGATCGAAACTGAATTCCGGACTGACATGTGATCACTCAGCTCGGTTAGAAAGAGCTACATAGTTTGTATTTATATGCTGGCATAAATGGCATAAATGTATATATATATACATATGTATATATGTAAATGGTTTCTCAATACAAGATTGCTGGATCCATTCAGACTAGATTAGAAACAATGATTCTTATTCTATATTTATGGGGAAGCTTTCCAACATCGTCTGACCCGGTAAGACATTTATGTCACCAAGAAAATGCGCACCAATTTACTATGTATACGCGTACACGTAATTCTGTGAAAGTAAAAAGCCTATATAGAACAATACTGTATTTATGTCTGTGCATATATAAAAATGTAGTCTGCGTAGACTTGCACAACTGCACTCGTACATATATTTGCACAATGTTAAGTGATTCTTCTTTTATCTGGATAAAAAGTAAAGAATTGTTGTGAAATGTTAAATAATTAATATCACTTGTGGCCATGTCCGTCCGTCCGCGCACAGCTATGGTATATGCATAGCACTACATGCGCGTATTTAGCGTACGGTGCAGTTTGAGGTGTACCAAATGCGATAATTTACTGCACCATACATAATGCATACATGTGGTAACAAAGAACTTTTACATCGACCGAACCAGCACGAGACAGCGGCGCGCAGCGAGCAAGAAATTGCGAGATTTATTGCATTTAGATGTGTCACACTTCCATGTGCCATTGTGCCATCCTCAGTATTAAGCAAAATGCAAATAAGTATGTAAGCGGCGCTAAGTGCTCTTTGTATGGTTCTGTGTTCTGTATTCACTGTTTTAGTGTTTGGTGTTCTCAGTTCTCAGTTCTCTGTTTTTGTCTCGATGTGTTCGTCTGGTTGGTTTATTTATATATACCCAGTTAATAAAAAAAAATTTACAGTAGCAATGTGTCACTTCTTCCTGCCTTTCTCCACGTCTATAATCTCTCCTTTTGGCACCACACCTCTTGAGTTGCTTGAGTTGTGCATAAAGAGGAATTTTAAGTTATTGAGTTTTACATGACCGATGCTATTGTCATAAAATTTAAATTTAATAAAGTTAATAGGTAGATTGGCAGTCCGTTTCATGCCCCTCAACTCTTCATCTTAGTCTTCTTAAAAGGTCAATCAATTTTATGGGATCATTGCGTACTGCGTTGTGATAAAACTATGTTTATTTCAACAAGAATTCATTTTGTTGAAAGCACTGAAAACAAATGAAACAAAAAGATATCGTACTAACTGAGTACGATATACTCATATAAATGTTGTTCCCAACAATGATAAATAGCACAAGATTGATATAAATCAAGTAATTAACATATAATAAGTATGTTAATGAAATCAACAAGTTTTTTAGACGACCATCCAAAAATACGTGAAAAATATATACAACTGAAGTAGCTACAATTCTGTTTCTTATGAACTTTACAATGTGATCCAATGTGTCTATCAACTGCAAATGCGATAGAGTTGCCTAAAACTGCAGGATTTTAGATAATTGTCTACACCAGGACTTTGGATATTGTTTAAGGACTTCTACCACTGCCTACACCATGAGAATTAGTGATACAAATATGTTCTATCAAAGGTATACACAATATAGAGTAACAGCGTTTCTTTTATTAAATATTTGTTTCAATATAAAGGCTTTCAAGGAATCTTTATTAAATATTATTTGGCTACATGCTACAAAAACTTACGTCAAAAAATAGTTATGGAGACCTACTTTCAGTAGCTTTGTTAAAGGAAATTAGAATAAAAAAAATACAAATGCAATCCAGTACGGTTCAAACAGTAATGAAGAAACAACAATAAAAATTTTTAGTTAGTTCATTTAAATTTGGCTGACCATACAATGCTATTTCGAGTATTGCCAAGTATGTTATAAGCATTAGCAAGAAAAAGTTCTGTTGCTACTTTTTTCTCTTCTTCTTTGCAGCTCCCGCATTTTTTATTGGAATGGGATGTCCAATACCCACTGGTCAGTGGCTTGACAGCGTTAACGTAACTTGTGCTAAGTCTATCTTGGTTCTGCTAAGTAGGAATTACTTTCTCGATAAATTTTAGCTTGACAATGGTAGTTTAAATTTTTCACAACCCATTATAGTTTTCTATTTGTGTTCTATTTGTATTGTATATATTTAGGAGCACCTAATTCTTTCTTATTTAGTTAATGTGCAATTTCACTTCCTCCCGTTTTGATTTCCTCTCCATTTTTAGGTGCCCTGAAATACAAAAACTCAGTTGAATTTTGTACTGCTTTGCTAGCTTTGATTCTATACTATGGTTGAACAGAACGAGATTTGCAGACCTACCGTCGGGGAATGACAGTCGTACATCACAAAGTAAAATCTGTTAGTGAAAGGCAGGCATTTACACAATTTTTTATTTCCGGACAAAAAACGTCGATATTGGAATTTGTGACGAATTAAACTATTGGCATACATTGTCAATAGATTGCAATTTTGATCCAACCTTTTTATTTACCTTTTACAAAAAAAGAGAAAAGAAAATTAAATTCATTACATATTGCATATTTTTAATTGCATTATTTATTATATATACATTTACCTCTTTCGAGACAATTTCGTTTTTTAAATGTGACTTCATGATAAGGAAATTGTGTCAAATTTACGTATTTCATTATTTGGGTCGAAAATGCTGGAATGTTAAGAAAATAAAAATAGCATTCTTGTTTTTACATATTACTTAAAAGAAGATAACTTATTTCTTATAATGTTGCGATGTCGACTGTCGAATGTAATGGACTTACTTTAATCTGAAAATAAACAAAGTCCATAATTCTGCAAAATATGTGCAATTATTTACTGAACTGAATTACTGAATTTTTGTATTTTAAGATTTATTAATTATTATTTACATCACAAACATCTACTTTCTCAATTATTGTTCTTATAACAACCCGAATCCCTGACAATAGGGGTTAGCGGCATTTGGTCATCTATGTTGAGCAGTTGGTCTGGGGAGTATACCTGTGTGCTTCTGGAACTATAAGTACACCCTCATGCACATCTCTGACATACGCATTATTCAAACGAATTCATGTATCTATAAATACATATGCGAAAATATATCTGAAAAGTATTTTGTTCTTGACTATGAAGTCTATGTCAATGTAGCATTTTTTTTCTATATTAAATTGAATACTTCAAATTTAAAAAAATCAAAGTTAAGTTGCTCTATATAATCTTCTGCTGTAGTATGAAGAGTCCCTGATAATACGTACTTCTGTTTTTAAATTTATTTCAATTTAAACTATTTAATATGGACAATATGGACAATAGAATAAGTAATTAGATTAATGGAATGTAATATTATTAATTTTTATTTTTATTAGGACATGATCCTGATAATGATTTTCAAAGAGAGTCGAAATATAGAATGATTTAAAAAAACATCAATAAAGGATTTTTTAATTTTTATTGGAGAAAAACGTGACCTATAGTCAGCTAAAAAATAAACAAAAAATCATTATAAAAGATATACAGGTCGAGAAACAAATTTAAAGTTCAATTATTTATACTTTGTTTTAAATGGTCTTCGCATAATATAGGTTGAACAATTTTATTATAATTTATCACACCTTTCTTTACAGTTTCGTTGCATTTCTTACGCTGATACATTAGATTATTAAAAAACAAACGAAGACTGAGACCTTTGCAATTTTATACATCTCGGCAGACTACAACCGTCATACGTGAGAATCCACAACAAGCATTCAAGGACTAACAAAAAATTTGGTGTCGTAAATCTTTACGTAGTTTTGGCAACGTGAGTCAATAAAAATGTCCTCTCGCTCCAAAGAGAAAGTTACTGCTGCTATTCGTAAGTTTTTCAAAGGCAATGATAAAGTCGAAGCAGCCGAAGCAAATGCAACAGGAGCTGCAGATTCACCTAATAGACGTGGACGGCGTCAGGACAACAAGTAAGTATATCTAAAATATATACACTTCTTCACTTAATATCATGAATACTTGTATAGAGTTGCCCCAGCCACAAGCACAAAAGGTGAGGAATCGATGGCTACTATAAGTTTAACTCAAATGAGCCTCTCTATGCCAGATAACAGTATTAGAGCGCGTCGTCTAATGAAGGAGTACAAGGAAATTGTTAAAATGCAAACCAGCACAAAACAGCCTGTATTTACGGTAATTTCAGTCTTCTTTTAATTCAAGTTCACTTATATTCACTCAATATCACAATGGGCAATATATGCCTCCGAGTGGATGTGCTGACAACTGTCAGCACGCGCCTTCCGAACCTAACCTAACCTATGTTCACTCTATGCTTTTCTATTTATTTAAAAGGTTGAATTGATTGGTGATAACTTATTTGAATGGTATGCACGCTTATTTATAATTGATCCTGATTCGAAGCTCGCCAAGGATATGGCGGAACTGAAAATTCCATTTATATTGTTACATTTGGTGTTTCCGGATAATTTTCCATTTTCCCCACCGTTTATGCGAGTAGCTGAACCACCCATTGAAAGAGGTTTTGTTATGGAGGGAGGTGCCATATGTATGGAGTTGTTAACTCCACGCGGTTGGGCAAGCGCTTACACTGTCGAAGCAGTAATTATGCAGTTTGCAGCTAGTTTGGCGAAAGGTCAAGGACGGGTTGTTAGAAAACCAAAGAGCACGAAAGAATTTAATAGGTATGTATGCTACGAAGAACCTTCTAAAATAAATTATATATTTTAAAAAACCAGAGATTAAACGCAAAATATATTAAAAAATAGATAATATTTTATTAAGAGAATGCACTGTGATTAACTGAACATAAATGCAATATTCAAAACTTTTATTTGTTGTCATTATAGTTTAGGTAGTTTCGCGCTCTTGAAAAAATGTGTTTAATTCAATAGCTTTGTGAACGGTATTTAGTCGTCGATGATTAATGGTTCTAAAACTTGTCACTTCTAGTTCTGAAGACAATCATTTAGTTGGAGCGCTCTGAAAACCTCTGGGTCTACGTCACTCGTGACTCGTCAACTTCGACAACTAAGTTCCATTCATCACTTCCAAACGGCTTACTACAACAATTATATTTAGTTGGATATAAGAAACTGTTTAATAAAAGTTGTAACTCCAAATATTTTTACTATTCGGCAAAGCGAATATATATGTGATATGTTTTCAATGCGTTCAGTTTAGTATAAATTCAACATACTGCTAGTCAAAGTTTGCTGTTCCAACTGTCAGCTGTTCTAAAAGCTGTCGAGCTTACCTTCTAGACAACCATGCATCAAACTCCCCCTAATGTTTATTGCATTAGTTACAAAATGAGCGATAGTATGATTATGTTAATCTCTAAACCCTAGCTAAATCATACTTAATAAGTGTAATGTAGTCATCAAATCAAGTAATATAGTTGCATTAGTTTGCTGTCAGTTTTTCGGAGATCCTTAAAATAATATAATGAATACACTTTTTTTCGTGATCAAAAGTTATGCCTTATATCCAAAGATCTATATTCAAATAAAAGCGGAGGTCAGCAGGTAGGTAGGTAGGTTGGAGTGGTGGCCTTGTTTCCAAAAAGCCCACTTGAGCTCAAATGATAGCCCATTGTGGTACCATAGGAATAGCATTGGTACGTACATAGATTTTCTCAGCCAACGCTGAGAAAGGTAACGACTCCCCTATTAGGAAAAGAAAACCAACCTGACAATTCTATAAACTTCGCCAAGTCCCTAATATTACAGGATGAGAGCTCATTCAGATCTTCTTCTAGCTAAAGAAGGACACTGAAACTCAACAAAAATCATTATAGGGTAGACCCAGTCTCATTGCATGCCTCCCTATTTCGCAGTGTCCCTTCAGTACAGATACGGTAGTGCTGAGCAGGTTAAGCCTTAGTTGAAGTAAAAACTAAGGCTTAAGTAGCTGACTAATTTGTTTCTTGTCCAAAATTAGTAGGTAGGCAGGTAAATGGGAACGAGAATTGAATCCTCATCAAGTAAGTACAAAATCCATTTTGATTCCAATAGTCCTCGTAATATTTTTTAAAATCACCCGAACACATTTATGAAGGCAACCGATTTTCATAACCGATTTCTCCACCATGTTTTGGGGTGAGTAAAATGCAATTCTTATAAGCCTAAGCCTGAATCTAGTAACTCAGGATTGTGATGTCTCAGTATCCCTTTATCAAGCGCGGACGAGAGTAGGTTATAATTAAAAAGTTTTAAATCTAAAAATATAATTTTTAATTATATGCTTTTTTTTTGCTGACTATACAGCAGTTGCGAGTCTTGCTAAATATTGATCATCATTTGAAAATATTATCTGTTAAATAATTATCTTTTATTATCTATTAATAAAAACAAATTTAAATTTCAAAAAATATCTATTATCCTTAAATGTTTACTTATATAAAATTTTTTTGTTTACTTACAGACGTACTGCAGAAGAATCCTTCCGTTCCTTAGTGCGGACACATGAGAAATACGGCTGGGTCACACCAGCACTTTCAGATGGCTAAATATAGAAACATTTACTTTGTTATTGTATTTTAATAAGATATAACTTGTTTTTTATGTATATCCAAAAATGTTTAAGAATGTGCAACATTATTGCTGCCAAAAATTAATTGTTGCCACTTTTGGTAAACTCTTAGTTGAATAAAAAAATAATCCATACTTTGTATATTTTATTGATAACAAAAATATTTTCATTCATTCAGTTACTAGCAAGAGTGACAACAAGATTGAACTATTATTAAATTAAATTAATGCATATAATAATTTTATTAATCAAAAAAATATATATTTATTTAAACAAATCGAACTTGATTCAAATATGCTACATTTGTTTTTTATAATTATTTATTCAAATGCTGTTAAAAAAATGTTTCAAACGATTTTTATAAGATTATTAAATAAATTTATTAAATATGTATAAAAGCATGAAATTGCAACCGAATTCGTTGTAAAATGTTAAATTTGTGCATTATTTTTTAAAGAAAAGTTAACGCGTTTGCTCCCAAAAAGAGTTAGTACTTTGGAACAAAGTGCAAAACATAAAAATTTATTAACAGGAGCAATTAATCCTGTATATATATATACCAAATGAAAAACCAGAAAACACGTTAATTTCAAAAAAATAAATTCTTAACACAATTTTATTAAATAATTTTGCATCATTTAGGATATAAATGTTGAACAAAAAAGTATTAAAGAAATTTATTTTAAAACTTAAACTAGTAAAAATACAAATTTAAGTAAACAAATTATATTATTGAAATAAGCAAACAAATTCTATATGTATATATTTATTATATATGTATCTGTGTATAAATTTTAATAATATACATATTTTAATGTGTGTGAGCCGTTTGGTATCTGAACTTAGTTTTAAGTATGTCCAAAAATACTTGCTCAGCTATGTTTTTGGTCTTTCTAAAAATACATTTTATCTATATATGTAAATAATTTTAAAAAATCTATGCTATTAAGAACAAGCATCTAATGTATTAGAACTATCTCCATTTTGTATTACTTTTTTTGCATTTCTAACTTACATAAATTTTTGTTTTTATATTAAAACTAAACTATAAAACTAAATTTAATTTTTTATTAACTATAACTATATAGTCACATATAGCCTTACAGGGCTATATAGGGCTACTGAAAATATAAATTTAAACTAAATTTAAAACTTCTAAACTTGCATATTAATCGTATCCTTAACGAATCCTCTTTCTATATACGTTGCTATATTTGCTAACCAAAGCATCAATTCCATTCAAGTGCTCGTGAGTCAATTTCGTCCCATAAACTTCCAAAAGTTTTAGATTATATGATTAGTGATTGTTTGTAACCAAAAGAATAAGTATTTATAATATAATAAAAAAAGCGATAAGTAATTTATAATTTATTTATATGTATAAACAGAAAACGATTTTCATAAAATTCTTGACTGCTGAAATTAAGAATTTATTTGTTTGATTACTGAACGGTTCGTGTACAAATCAAATATATAAACTATACAAATAAAGATGTACTTTTATGTGTGAAGATTTAACTTGTTTTATTTCTGATAAGGTAAGTTTTTGAATTTCTAATGAATGAATGTTAACGAACAAAAAACACTACTAAACGCTACTTTGAAGCAATTATACACTTAATTAAATTAAATTAATTATTGTTCGTGAAAGTTATAAAAAGAAAGAGGAAGCCTTAACTCTCTTCCTGGGTCTATTTTCCGGAATTGAATATCATAAGTGCTGCACGACCAAGTGTTGTTTACCCCCAAACAAAATCAGGAAAGAATTTTTCTATGATGTTTAAGAATCCAGATTAATCGCTGGATATGCTCCTGTTAATTATCACAGGATTGATAATTATAGTTTTTGTGTAATTGTAGTTTTTCTGTAATTATAGACTTTGTGAAATACGGTGTGAAATATATGTGTAAGATATTTGTTATTTTGTTTTCGTTATTGTCGTAACACAAGGAGACCTACTAGTATTATCCCTATTAGAATGGGTGTATGGCACTTGTGTGTGTGTACATTCGATTGACTTTCAAACACGGCATTAATTTGTACTCTGTGACTGTTGAGAAACGTGTTAATGGGAAATGTGGCCCACCCATTTTTTTTTAATTCCTGCCTTATATCTCATCAGTTTTATTTAACTTAGATGTGAGGCTTTACTTTCTAAGGCTATTTGAACTTCAGCACCAATGCCTCGGTACAAGTTTCGCTCTAACGAATGAGATCTGGGGTTATGAATCACGTTTATCATTAGCCTTAATTAGTTTGGATCAGCTTAGGAAACTTTAAGAAACGGTATCACAAGAAGACCATCTTAAAGTTTACTTTGGACCAAATTCACTTGGCATAGTAATAATAATACTGATCGAATTGAGCGCTAGTTGGTCATCGAAAACTAGTTGCCCCAGGACGTATACTCGACAATTTCTGAGACAAATCTTGACTGGTAGTTCAAGAGTTAGAGAAATTTAAATAATCTAATTTTATACAGTTATTTCAAAAAAAAATGTGTGCTTTTTTTCAAGTGGCTTTATAGGGGTCTTGTGTTTTAATACAATTATAATGATTTGCTTATATTTGTAAAAGAAAGAAAGTGGAAAACACAGTTGTGTGCATTCCGTAGTGGTTTGTAACTTAATATATGATTTATAAAATGGACATATATATACATCAGTGCCACCATATTTAAACATTTCTTGAACGTGAACTTTGGATCTAGATATTTTTACAATCATATGTAAAATAAATAATTGCTTTGCTATAAATCTTAACATATATTTGTAAAGTAAACAAAATCTGCAGAAAAGCGAAAATCTGCACAGCATTATGATAATTCTTACCTTTGGATATAAGTACTTGCCGTGCTTATGGATATATATATATATTCTTGATCGAACTGACAGCAATATTGAAATAATTGAATGAAACTTTCTCTGCTTTCTAAGATTTTATGATGACTATGATTCCTGTAAAAATAAGTTGACAAATTAATAGAATCTTTCTTGCAACCACTAAGTACTACTACGTATTTTGGTAATATTAATCTATTAAATTTGATTTTAACGTCAATATGAAGAAGTGACAATTTTTTTTTTAGATAAACTGTGGTATTTACAACAACAAAATTTGTCTTTATATTATTTTAAATAATTGAATTTTTATTTGACCATACAGCTGTTTCGAGTATTGCTAAATACCCATCATCAGTGATCTTGGAAATAATTCTTATATATATTATAACTGCAAGTATCAGGAATCGATACTGATACTCGTGCCCTGTCAAATTTGAAGCTCAGAGTCAGCGCACCTTAACCAACTGACCCAAAGCCGTACTTGACATTTATGTTGTGAAAATTTTATTAACAAATTCATTTGTTGTATTTATATTAGAACGAAATCATAAACCAGCTGTAGAATAATTGAATTAATTAATTATATTTTTATTTTTAATTGTTAAATTTCAATATTATTCTTTTGTAGAGACATAAATTATTGCATGAGTTTATTTCTTTCTTTGTATATAGAACTTAATCTAGGAACGTAATACGAAGTAAGCCATGCTAATGTTACTTTACGATTCGCCTTAGCATGTTAATCTATACAATTTAGTCATTTACTACGAGACAGTACGAGACAGATTCATGCCTTCATATAGTATTTCAAAATTGTAGGCAATGAGTAAGAAAAAAAAAACGCTGACACATGTTACATGTTAGGCTATTACAAAGTCCCCCTAAAATTGTGACTTAAATATATTCTGAATTTATAATTTTGCTATTTAGTTATATACATTAGCTTTCAAATTCTGACCTATTCGAATTAAATTAATTCCTTTCGAACTTCGTTTTTAAATTTGTTAATTATTTGATGTAAATTGAAAGAAAATATAATTAGATCGAATTCTGTGACACAGTACGGTAAAACTTTATGTATATTTATTTATGAAATAATATTTTTCAGCTATAATATTTTTCGTTATTTGGTAAAACAATAGCAGCTGTTTTTTTTAAGGTGAACAAACAAGTAAAACCAAAATCAGCTGATTCAAACGTTCTCTAATAATTTTAGCAAGCAAATAATCAAGCAACTGCATTTACAATTACATGGTTTATCATTTTAAAGGCAGCCTGTTATTCGGATTCTCCTAAAAAATTTTTATTATCAAAATTGTTCTCTAAATGGTTAATCACAATGTTAAGAAGTTTTGTGTGTGTTACGATATAAGATTACTTATATTAAAGTATATACGTATAAACACAAATTAATAGAAATAATTTAATGGAACGAGGTAACTGTTCAATCGCTTAGATTAAGAAACTAAGCATATAGAAGGTTTTATTTGTTTCAAAATTTTTTGTTTATAATTTTAAAAAGTCAAAATTATTAAAATTGATGTCAAGTGTTATGATAATAATAATAATACGGATAATAATAATAATAATGAATCGCTGTCAATCTTATAAATCCATTACTGCCAACACTATCTACTGAAATGCAATTTAATTTTCCATATAGTGCTCATCATTTTGATAAAAGATTTAATAAATATTATTCAATTAAATAATGAAATTATGAATTATTATTAAATAATGAATAATAATGTCTAGTATTGTTTAGATTTTACACTTCACTAAAATCTTAACCTTTCGAAGTTAGCTAATTGAATTGTGTTCTATGGCATATTCATCGAAAGATTAATCAGGTATCTGTTCACACGAGCGCATATATCTTAGTTTTAAATTATACTTTGGCATAATAAACATATGCAAGTACACATATTTCATTTATCAGTTATAATAAATTGTATTCAATTTTGATAAATTATTAAGAATATAAAAAGGATATGACGCGTAATTTTTTTCATAAATAGTCATATAAATTATTTATATTTTTGCACTCATAAATTACATACAACATTAAATCATTGCTTTAAATAATTATACAATAATTTTAAGGTATATAAATAAATACATATTAAATGCAATTATAGATCTAAACATGCACTTAACAGTTTGATTCAAAAGGCATAGTTCTTTTTGTTTATTTTCCCTTTCATTTCAACCATGTTCACCACTGTGTGTTTGTTACCGTATTTCAAAAAAGCATTCTTCAAACTGTGAATAGTTTGAAAGTGACTGCTTCAAGGGCGAGTGAGTGGCGAAATGTCAGCAGAGCATTTCTTTTTTGCGTTTCCCTCATTTTTAACAAATAATATTTAACATTTATTATACATGTACTTAAAAAATTTTAATCAAAATATAAAGTTTATATGTTGAACTTCTTTGTGTGTTATATTTTGATACAAACAATTGAGTTAATATAAAGCAAAAAGTGCCGTGAATAGTTTGCCAAATAAGCCTGTGATTGATGCAGTACATATAGTGAAAGAGAAAATCAGGATATTTAGTAAGTAGAAATATACTTGGAGTTTTTTTATCATTGCATAATGAGTGGCTTTAATGGAAAAATGCATTCCATATATGTATCCTTAAAATACTTATTAAAAATTAAAGTTTTGTAATCTTAACAAAAAATCAATTATTCAGCAAAAACATTTTTCTTTGTGCTCTCAAGAGTAATGGCGAATGACATTTGCCACTGCTGCTGTTGCTGCTGTTGCTACTGCTGCTACATGCATTCAGTGTGTTTGGTCATTAAATTCTCTTTTCGTTTCGACTTGCCAAACAAACATTCAAACGTGTGCGTATATTTAAAAATTTTGTTAAAAATAGCCATTTTCGTGTTTTAAATGCCGTTTTTTTAATAACAAATTTCTTTCTGTGCATGAGTACAAATTGAACAAAATTTATACAACAAAAGTGCGTTTACATGAAGCAGATTTTATGCAATCAACCTTAGGGGCTGATATATGTCCGTCCGGCATAATACGAATTCGAATTTTATAAACTTTAGTATATAAATTTATAATTTGCTTTTAAGAATATTATAAGTAAATATAATTATTAATAAAATCTTGTAATTTGATTTCAATATATAAACCTTTTTACCAAATATAAATTAATTTAAAACAAAGATTATAAATTATATTAGTGAACAAATGTTGTTGTGTTTCAATAAATAAAATAGATCTCATAAAGTCGGTTACTTATGCTTGAGTAACCACGTCCAATTCCGTTGATATTGACTTCGAGCGTGATAAAAAGCATTCCGTAGTTCTGGCTTCGTATGTTGCCTACGCATGACATATAGCGTCTTTGACATAACCTCACTAAATCGATAATATAAAAAATCCCAACTAAATAAAAGTAGATCTGTGCATACTATTTTTTTTTCTTTTCCTTCACAAAAATTATAATATAGCTAGTTTGACAGGTTTTTGGATGTATTTGACAGGATTAAACGGATTAATTACGTTTCACCAATTTTATTATATGTTTACAATTAAGCTAAAAAAAAGGGCACTATTGCCGGATATTTGTCAAGTTTATTGCGATAGTATAAACGTACTGTTAGATAGAATTTTTCTTTTTACTAAAGATTGATCAATTATTAATAATAAATCAGTAATTATTTTTTAAGGCTCTTCTCTATATACAATAAAGTACCTCAAGAATCAATTGAACGCTGAATACCTATGGGTTGCCGCAATATATTGACAACGAACTTGTCTCCATTTTCTTCTTATGGTACTTTTTACTTTGATTCTTGACCTCAACAAGGGCTGAAAACCTGATAACTTGTGGTTCATTTGCTCCTGTTGCTTCAATAAAGGCTTTAAATAATATTCGCCTTAAAGCACATTGTTTATGTATATCAATAGCTAATTATATGCAGTAGTTTAGATCGCTGATGATATGAATGATGGTTGAAATCACTTTTAAAAAATTTTTTCTGAAATTCTTAAATCTAAGAAAAATTTTATTTGTGTATTTAAAAAAAAAGACAATTTTGATAAAGATAACATGCGAAATCACCTCTTTAAAAATTGATGTCACAATCGTGAGTAGTAACATATAGGAGTCTCCAAAGATATTGACTTCATAATAGTCTCAATGATTTATTTTAGTTCACTGTTTGACTAAATCCTTAAGCTTTGTTAAAATTTGAAATGATTACCACATCCAGAAAAGAGATCATTTAGTGTCAATAGATCGTAAATGCAATCTTGACCTAACTCAATCTACACACATACATTGGTAATATCTTCAATTAACAGTTGTTTAATAAACTAAGAACTACTTTACAATATAAAACATTTCTGTACTGCTTCATACATGAAGAATAAACGTGTTTAAGAAATAATAAAATATATGTTATATATATTGTAAACAAATATATTTAATTTTATTTTGTAAAACAATTAATCCTAAAAACACAAATAAACTACATCCCCCAAAGCATTCAAAGAAAAAGCAAACCATAAGTGCAAAGCGATGTCAGTTTACAACCAAAACTGGAGAATTGATATTGAGAAATCTAGATATTACCTCAATGATCCTACAACAAAAAAATTCTGCATATAAAACTAACACATTATACTATTTATGTAGAAAATATATTAGTGCCATTCAAATCTGTAGATCGGGACCTTTTTTGAGTTTAATGGATCTGTATTAGGATCTGTTCAGTCAAAGTCAACTGTAGCACAAAAGACTTACAATAGTCGCAGTACTCTACTCTGTTGGGAGCATTTTACTCTTCAATTATCTAATTCGTAAAATTTCAAATTAAAACGCTCATGAAGAAGAAAAAAAATTTTATATAGATTTCTTTCGTAACCACAAGTGACTGTTTTAAATTATCAGTAAAATACAATATTTGATTTACTTTAAATCAGGTTATTTAATTCAAAATTTCTCCTAATTGCACTTTAATTTTTACATTTTTTTCTTACGGCTGTAATTGAATCTATAGTATAATCATTTATAATCATTCATTTGTTAATTAATCATTTGTACTCAATTTTAAATTAATGACCTATCTCTTCTTTATATCTGTTTGCTTTAGTATATTGGTATATTGCGTTTATTGTTTGATGTTAATAGCGCGCATTTATCAAGTCGTCTACTGCCTTACAGACTTCTAGATAAAATTTACCTTGTGATGTACTTATTTAATTGTCTATTAGTATTACCAATTCTCTCTCTCTCTCACTCTCTCTTCATATGCTTAAATTGAATTTTTTAATGACGATTACTACTCGATCTACTCAAAGTATGATTACTGCATTTAAAAATTGATTGACTAGTCTTTCTAGAGTAATATTCGTAAATAAAATAAAAAGAAGATGATTTTATATTTTTAAAATTTGTAAGTTAAATTTTCTTACAAATTCTCATATGTTGACTTTAGATTTTCAAATGATTGAACTTAATTAAAACTCACCATTTCGTGGTGTATTTTTAACAGCATAAAAATGTCGTTGCCAGAAAGCAAAAGAAGCTATCACTTTGACAAGCGGTAAACACAAAAAAGCTATCAACGCAATGATTGTTGTATTAATTTAGCCAGGGGCCAGTTGTTCGCAGTTTGCAAGTTTTTGACGTGCTTCCGCCTCAATAATCTAAAAATGTAACTAAAACTCAATTTACCAGGAAAACATAGAACCACCAAAGAAAACGAACCGAGAGGAACATTAATTGACATTTTGAATAAAGCAACGGTGTACTGGTATCTAAAAAAACAAATTGGAACTTTGAAGCAATAAATGTAAAAGAATGGCAGATATACAAACAACTATATTAACAAATACAACAGCATTGCCTCCTATAACAACATCCAATCCAACAATGAATACAACAGCTGCTATACCTACAACAGCATCGTCCAAAGCACTCAAACGCTGTCTCAGCGTTCCAATAATACATACACCAACTACAATTGGTACGATGACAACACGCTCAGCAGCTGCGGCGGCAGCTGCCATGTGCTACCGCAATATTGTTAATAAAAACACTGAAACTATTACCGAGACTCCAAAGAAATTAAATCATACCACAGCTGAGAGCTGTTCCATAAACAGTACAGGTGCAAACCATTACAGCTTAGGCATACCACGTTCAAATCCTTCTTCAAGGTTTGTATATGTTTTGATTTATTTTAATTTATATTTTTTTTAACTAAAATAAATGTGAATTTTAGAGAGGTTTCACCTGCTCCAGTTTTCAATATTTTTGCGCCCCGTGCTCGACGTTACTCAGCTAGTTACAGTCCGTTGTGTGCCACAGCGGGTATTACTGGCTCTTCAACTGGCGCACCGCTTTGTATAACACCCCGTGTTTCGCAATTACGCCAGGAGGAATGTATTGATATAAATAGCCGTGAAGTGAATCATGAGCGGGAAGTTCATAGTGCCATGCAAATGTCACAAAGTTGGGAGGATCTCACATTAGTCGCAGAAAACTGGTCATGTAAATCTGATGAATTTAGCAATCCATTGCAAGTTGTTTTACCATCTGGTGTGTCAAGTTGTTCAAGCCCAAGCCCGACAAGGTAAATATTTTCTATTAAATTTCAGTTATTTGGTTCAATAATCATAATTAATATTTATTCTTACAACAGTAATCGTGCTGGTTTACGTCTTCCTTACGGTTTGTCTCCATCGCCAACGCGCCGCACATTTGCCACAAGACGTTCAATGTCACCTATAGCTATGCGACCCTCCCAGTTAGGTCCTGTAAAAAGAAAATTTGAATTAGATGATAATAACAGCAACTGGAATGTTTACAATACACCTCCGCCTTTAAAAAAAATATTCACAGAGAGGTGAGTAAACTTAAAACAAAAGTATAACATATAAGTCCAACCATTGTTATGAACTTGTTAATGCAACCTACTTGAAGTGGACTTCAATTTAGACATGACTGCGGAATGTAGAACGGTCGGATGTTGAAATCTGTACACGAATATTTTTACGTCTGTTAAAAATTAAATTTAAATTAATTCATATTAATCTGAGTAAGATTTGCCATATTTATTCAAACAAAATTACATAAAAATTGATAGTGATCATTTCACATAATTTCAACTAATAATTTGTTTATTTCAAGAAGAAATGTTACATTTTTTTGTGCGACTAATTTTCATTTTAATAGTGCCAAAAGATCCCAGGTTTTTTTCACCTTACACTATTCGAAAAATTATATAAAAATATAGGTTACTTGTTATTGCTCTATGATTGTATATTTATTATTATAAAAAATTCAAAAGAGTTTATATGCATGAAAGAAGAGTATGAAATACTTTCCATAAAATTTCTTCAGGCTTACATCAATTGTTCTTTAACTAAGCGTCCGGCCATACACCAACTTTTTCTTACAACTCTTCTGCACGAGCAGCTTCATTATATCCGTAATATTTGACTACATAATTGAACAATTAAGCTATGTTCTGTTTAAGTTACATTATTATTTAATACTTATTCTTGATAGAACAATGGAGACTGACATATTTAAATAACCATATATCTTCTATTGCAACTTCTTTTTAAAATTTCGATACTTGAAAGTTTTCAAAAACTGTATTTCATACCCAAAAATTCATTCATATTGTTTAAAAGATTATTTTAATGTTTACGCCAAATGTGACTGTTAGAAGATGGGCTGTACGAGTACCTTGAACTTAATCTTGGTGCTCGAACGTTTTCAATTCAAATCTTTGAAAATGAATTTGTATACTCAAACTGCTCAAGCACTTTAAGGTACTATTAAATATTTTTTTTTGTATTTGTCAAATAAATGCCAATTAAAACAGAGTTACTAATTAGTATTACCTACGAACTCCTCTTCTCCAGCTACGAAAAAAAAGCATATAATCTTAAGTATATCCTTATATCATGTTTACATTACGAACTTTGCTGGTGGTAATTGACTTTGAGCTCAAAACCAGTTACCAAAGCTGGTCTTGTCGTTTAAAAAGGGGCACAACAATGTTCGAACTTTCATTGAAAGCCAGTTTCATTTCATTTTGTTTTCGTTTTCGACGAGAATTTTCATTTTTATTGCTAGATTTTTAAAATAACATATGGCTAGTGCCAAGTTAACGTTGCTGTTGAATACTGGGTTGTTGCTTAGAAATAAATTTTAAAAAAATTGTCCATTTGTTGAACTTTTTCAGAGATATTTAATATTTGAGTTGAAGTATTGAAATAATATTTATTCTATTTCTAATAATAATATTTATTCTATATTATTAAAAAAGCAACACTTATCAAAATAAAAACCCAAAACGATAATGTAAATGTTTGATGTTAGTGAATCAACTTTAATAAATTTCGTTTACTTAAGCTACTTAAATAATATAAACACGGTATAACTGTTTTAACCTTATAATGTGAATATGATTCACGCCACTTGTTCATTCGTTTTCATGACACTTCCTTCTAACAACATTATCAACCTCACAATTATCACCAATCATTTCATACATTGCCCCCAATGTTGCAATTGTGCTCTGTATTTGTGCTTTTGATTACCATCCTTTATGTAGTCCAACATAACATTATATTAACAAAAACTCAGAAAACTCTATTTACCCCCATCAAAATTATAAGTCATCAATACTTTTTTAGAATAAAGAAATATTTCTATGTTTCTCAAAAATAACTCCTCATTATATTTGAAATAATATATCTCGATTCACACTCCCATCCATATCTTGGACTCTATAGTTTTTTTTTAATATTGTTGCTGGGGTGAGGAGCACAGTTAAGTTTGCAACATTTTCTTGATAATTCCTGATTGATTCCTGATTTCAATACAGAATTAATAATAGTATTATAACGTATATTATTATTTTTTTTTTATGTTTTTCATTGTTATTAATTTATTTAATTTTATTTTTTTATTAAAGTCGTGGCTCTTCACCAATATGTCAATCGCCATCATCAGTCTGTCCCAGTCCTGACTCAGGCACCTATGATGGACGCACAACACCAAAACTTTTCATTTCTAAATTATGTGCTATTAACAATAATTCTACATGTTCGTCACCTATGTCTTCTTCTCCAAGCAGTGCTCTCAACCCAAATGATATAATAGTTAATTCTGCGCTGTGTTCGTCGATATCTTCTTCATCATCTTCGTCATCATCAGCATCAACTACATCATCAGTATCAACACCAACCAATAATAATATCGACGAAGGTATATCTATCTCAGAACCAGATGAAAAATGTACCATAACTATAACACAGCCTATGTGTACAGATGTGCAAGACGAAACCACACTATTAGAAGATATTAAAAATGAGGTTTCGTCCTCCGATGGCTGTTCCGACATTAATATAGAAACGTCATGTGATATCGATATGTCGAAGACTGAAGTCAATTTCTTTAACAAAGTGAACACAACAGAAATTGGACAAATAATTTACAGTGTTGACGAACACGACAGTAAAAACAATGTAAGCAATTCCGTTGTAGTAAGGACAACATCAAGTAGTAATAGTGGCGAACCAATGGATGCCATTAATGTTACTAGTACTACAAATAGTGACATTTCTCCTACCGGTGTATTAACCAGCACTGCACAAGCAAAGGCGATGGGCACGAAATCAATAGAAAGCGCCATTCTTAGTAAAAACTTATAAACTCAAACTTAAAAAAAGTCGTAAGTCTTAACTCATAATTGATAATGGAATGTTGAATACTACACCCGCGCCAAGTATTTTCGTATGTAAATATGAATTAAATTGGGATTATTATATTAATGAAAAGCAGACTTATGCGTGCAGGGTATATATATTAGATTAGTTTCAATTTTATAATTCATCTCTTATTAAGTTATTTCATTTATATTTATAACATATTCATACAAATTCAAATTATTTAAACAAAAAAAAATATATATATGAAGAAAATGTAAATCTCCAGTTTCGGCGAGCTTTAGAATTTTCCAATTAATCGGATATGACAATTTTGAACTGTTGTACAGCTAGGATTTGATTTTGAAGATCTTAATAACTTAAAATATTAAAATATATAAAAAAATATTTTTCTTAAGCCAACGTTTTTATGTGTTTATAGAATTATAAAAAATATTTCTTTTGTAATATCTAAAAAATTGGCGACTTTAAGTTTTTTTATTATCCTTAACTTTAAAACTTTTGATTTTTTTGCGAAGTATAGTCCTAACAAATTTAAAATACTATAAATTACCAAACAAATAATCGCTATCTTTTTAACACTTTGAAAATGTAACAGTATTATTTATATCAGATATAATCTGCAGTAAAAATTACATGCAATTCAAAATATATAGCAAGAAATTTTTTTAGTAACTTCCCCCGTGTGTACGTTTTATAATCACATAAAAGCACTTGTACTTCATTCAGTTTAAGGACTGTAATTATATATTTTTTTTAGTAGAAATTAATATAATGCAAATATTTTATTTTATATTATATTTATATAAGTAACGATATGTTCCAAATCAATTTTGTATACCGTTGAAATATTATGTTTTTATAATTTTTGTACTTAAATAATTATTTAAAATTTTTTTTCTTTATTTTATTTAAAAATTTACTTTTGTTCAAATATTATCGAAAATGCAAAATCCAAAGCGTTTATAATTATTATTTAAATAAATTTAAGTTATTTTGATTTATACAAAAATTAAATTTTTCCAAACATCGTCATAAGATCATATTAATATATAATATAACATAGTATATTATATAATATATAATATAATATGATATAATATATTATATAATATAATATATTATAATATAATATAGTATATAATATAATATATAATATAATATAGTATAATATATAATATAATATAGTATAATATATAATATAATATAGTATAATATATAATATAATATAGTATAATATATATATAATTGTAAAGATAATATAATATTATATATAATATATATATAATAATATATTAATAAATATAAATATATAAATATAAATAGTATAAAATAATATAATAATATAATATAAATATATATAATAAAAATATAATATAATATTATATATTAATATATTATATATATTATATATAATATATTTTATTATATATTTTTATATATTATATATTTTTATATATTATATATATTATATTATATTATATTATATTATATTATATTATATTATATTATATTATATTATATTATATTATATTATATACTTATAATTATTCTAAGTAAAAAGATAATATAAATAAATATTACTTTTATTTTAAATTATTATGATAATAAGCATTGTCCAAAAACTATTTAGTGAATAGTGTAAATTATTTGTTTTTTTTTTATTACATTTATGTGTCACATGCAAACTAGTTTTAAATTTTATTTTAAGCAACTATACCTAAGCCAATGTCATTTTATTTTATATCAATATATAAATTAAATTATATGTTATATTTGTATTAATGTACATTTTATTTTGTTGCAAGTGTTGTTTTTAAGTGTTTTAGCTTAATGAGTTATATGTTTTTATCATATTCGAAAATAGAATTATACTTGCCACAGAAAGCAAATAGTAAAATTATGTTTTTGATCTAGTTGATAATAATATTGAGCAGTTAATTGTAGTATATTTAAAATATTTTCGATAAATGATTAGATTTGCGTATTTAGTAGCTTCGCTGATGTTTATTGACATAGGTTTTTATAATTAGAAGAAATACATGTTAGCACTACGGAAGCACTAGCTCAGTATAATTTTAAAAAATTAAGCTTATTTAAAAAAAATCTTAGACATAAATTAGAATTGTTGCTTTAAAAGTTTTATGTACTGTTAATGTATGTTGTAGCAGCAGATCTATACATAATGAATACTCTTATTATACGCAGTTTGTAAATTTTACTATGACTACAAAACTCTATTAATACATTTTTATAACTAGTGATAAATATATATTGTCAAAAACAGAAAACAGTTGCAGTTAACCGTCAAAAAATATGTCCGCCCAATAGGAAATGGTTAGGTTTCTCCGCCTTGATTCTAATTGAATTCAATTTAAATCACACCTATCCGTCAATCCATTCTCAATCGTAAATAATCGCCTCCTCACTACTTATCTGCATCCTAACCCATGTTTTCGTATTATCTGCTTTATAGATTCCTGCGGGCTCAATAACAATTTCAACCAATATATAAAACCATATACAACGGATAATGGGAGTATTATTAACTTGTTCAAAATATGATGATTGTTTTATGAAAAATGTATGCACTATGAGAAAATTCCCTATGATCTAAGATGATACATTTGTGTGCTGTAAAATAATGTACTGTCTGTCTCATTTTTTAAAAATATACTTTAAAGTTGATTAATAAAAGTTATGTACTATTATATAATTATATATCATAATATAATAAAGACCATGTCGTTTTTAGAAATTGGCTTATTTAACCTCAATTCCCGGTTCTCTCTATGAGATGATAAATACCATATATTATATATCATTTTCGTCTGAGCATACGGTTGAGTAGAAAATCATCTAATAAGATGTGAAAACTCATTATATTGAATATGTTATTAACAATGACTATGTTGAGATTGCCAAACCGAATGGCCATCACGTTCAAACCTATTTAAACCTAGTAACGATCACTAAAAAAAGAAGAAAACTAACTTATAACGTGGCGCATTTTTACAAGTTATTAAAGCAATTTTATAATAATAAATCTATAATTTTAATAAAGCACTTAAATGCATTTCGTCCCTTTATTTTACAAAAAATAATTAATGATATTTAGACGTGAGTACAATAATAGGCCACATGAGTCGAAATGTATAGCGTTATCCACTTAATAGTTAAAGAATCTCTTGTCTTCGACTAAATGCAGTTGATTGAGAATATCTTTTATTTTAAAGTGATACAAATTTGAACAATACATACTTCACATAATATATGTATTTATTTAAATAAGACGTTAATAAATTTATAGAAATCTACTCTTAATTTTATTACTAATTCTATAAAAATGTATGTAGTCGCTTTACTTTTATTATCAATTGTTTCGTTGTAAACGAAATTTCTATCACTATCTATCACTATCATCTTATTGTTGTTGTTTTAACCCTTTCGGTATTCCTGAAAGAGAGTTTCCTGTTCGAGTCGTTATTGAGAGAGGATAAGCGGTACTTGATCGTTTAAAGGGATGAATAGCTTAGAGAGGTTCATCTAGCCTTATCTTAAATACTCGCGTTATCTAACAAATTATTTGTATAATTCAGTTGCACAAATTAATTTCTATATAAGCTTATAAAGTCACCTAATTACCTAATCACCTAAAAATCAAAATTAGCAATTTGTAAAGAAAAGCAGGGTTACGAAAAGTGTTACACCTAGAAACTTTGTATAGCATAACTGAATCGGCTCATTGTGGCTTTCTGTTGAGAAAAAAGGAGTGAAACATACCGATGGTTCAAAGTATGCTTGAACTATCGAATATTACTCCTCAAAACGTATTATTAATGTAAACTATAATAACCAGTAGAGTCTTATTATTGCTGCCGTAGCACATGAAACAGCGATGGGAACGGTAAACGGTAATAAACGGGTGATTTCTGGAATAATCACATTCTATTAGAAATATTTTCGAAAGTTGCTTAGTAATGATTTTTAATTAATTTTTCCTGACTTCAGTTCTAGTGCATGGAAATAATTTTTTTTTTCTTATTTAAAGATAAAAAAAATTATTTAAAGATTTACAATATATTAAAAATAATATTTTTTATCTAATTGCAATTTTTATGGCACTTAAAAAAATTAAATTTCAATAAGTCTATAGCGTTAATAAACTTTTTATAAATATTTATTATTCCAATAGAATACTATAAAAGTATTCTTTATTGGTAAATTTAATGGAATTACTTTCTAAAATCCTAATGACATTGAAATTAGTATTGGAATTTAAACTTTAAATGGAGCAGATCACTACCATTTTCTATTGCTATTTGTCAGCATTAAAATATTAATAATAATATTACATTTATTTGGAATTTGAAGAATATTGGTAAACCAAATTTTTTTTATTTAAACATTTTAGTTTTTTTTTACTTTCCTTTAAAATATTTTATAAATATCAATTTTTCCTTCCATACTAACTCTGTGAGCGTATTTACTTAATATTTTCCAATAAAATTTAAATAACATATTTCAATTATTACCGAATCATTATCTATAATTAATAATTATATTTTTTCTTTTATTTTTATATTTATATAATCTTTTATTTATGTAAAACCAGTTCACTTAATTTCGATGTATATTGTTATTGTAATTAAATTTAAGAATTATTTATTACTTTTAATTATTATATTTACATATGATAATTAAATATTTACCATAACATTTGCAATACTAGGATATTAAGATATATTAATAATAATATTAAGAAAATAAAAATTTAACTCAATTTTGCCAAATAAATTCTTTCTAAAAAATTTTTACTAGTGATTAGATAATTAAAATATAATAATATTTTAACGACTTATTATGTTTAATTCAGACTATAATAAAACATGCAGTCTGTGTATAATTTAAATGAAACAATTATGTCTATATTGATATTACAGAAACTTACAAACTAATATAGAAATAGTAAATTTAAACAAATTGTCAATATGTTTAACTAATATTTGAAAAATCGCATTAAAATACATTAAAGTCGATCAGTGTCAAATGACAAAAATGCCTTTTATTATATACCATATAAAAAATATTCAATATAAAATATATTCGTTTTTATTCACATACTTGTACTAGTTTTGTAGACTTACTCTAATGGAATTATTAACTCCTACGCATAGCAAGCAGCGTGGAATCTTAATAGATAAAAAGATCACAAGGGTATGAAACTTTGCGTTAACTATCGCTAAGCAATAAATAATATCAAAGTATCTATAAAAATTACATTCTAATTCTTAAATCTAAAAAACAATATAAACGATTAGAATTAATTAATAGACTTACACGGGGAGGGAATGTAGAAGGTAAAGTTTTTACAATGATCTTTAACGAT